TTGTCATTATTACCAGCATCATGACCACTGCCAGATCCCTATTTCCAGCGATTCTGATTCATTAGGTCCCTGAGGCCTGGGAATCTTCGCTTTATAAAAGCTTTCCGGCGGACACCGTGCAGCCCTGTCTTGAACAGAGCTATGGATCACTCACAGAAAGGAAGTTAGTGTATCTGTGGCCTCTTGAGTGGTATCTTTTACATTGTCATAGAAAAGTTTTTGGGTCAGTTCCTTTAACATTTAAAAATAGCTCTCACGGGCTTCCCTGGTGGCACAGTGGTTGAGAGTCCGCCTGCCGATGCAGGGGACACGGGTTTGTGCCCCGGTCCGGGAGGATCCCACATGCCGCGCAGTGGCTGGGCCCGTGAGCCATGGCCGCTGAGCCTGCGCGTCCAGAGCCTGTGCTCTGCAATGGGAGAAGCCACAACAGTGAGAGGCCCGCGTACCGCAAAAAAAATAAATAAAAATAAATAAATAAATAAAAATAAAAATAGCTCTCACATCTTGCCTTAATTTGTGTTTACACTGTATTATTTTCATATTTTAAAAAGGCTTAAATTGCATGTTTTTAGTTTTGTTAGAGAAAGCTACTTGATTTGTTGTCTTTAAATAACAGAGTTCACTTTTATAAATAGGTTTTGAGATGTAGTAAAATAGCTGGTGTGAAGGTAGCAGAAATTACAGAGCTAATACAGAAAGCTTTGGCGAACGACCAGAAAGTTAGGTAAGTTTGATTTTTTTAGAGCTGAATGGTCTTGTTATAGATTTTTCTGTTGAGGATTTTTCTCGCACAAGCATAACTCTACAGTTTTTACAGTCTTTCCTTATCTGTTCATCTCAGTTGAATATACTAAATGTTTTTTGAAAGTTGATTGAACTATTTATTGTATTCCAGTTTACACATAATCTGTATTAAAAAGCCACATAATATTTTTCATTTAAAAAGTTAACATTTTCTTAGGAAAAAAAGAATCCAGTAGCTCATGTTAACAGAAAGAATACAAACTGGGGTTGATTCCCATCTCTTCTTACTGTGTGACATTAAGCAACAGCTATATCTCAGCACTTCAGTGTCTTCTGCTTTAAGTACATAACACATGCTTGACACATGGTTTAATAAATGGTTAATTATAGTAACTTTTTATTATCTCACTTGATAGGCATAATAAATTGGTGGGGTTAAGTTAGTCAAATAGTTTCTCATCCAATATTTCTCATGTATCAAAAGGATAAAATAGTTAACTTTTTTTTCCCTTCCTGTCTTCTCTCCCATCTCTCATTCCCCCTTCCCTCCCAACTCCCCAAAAAAACCCACACAGGAAAGAAGGTGGAAAGTTTGGCTTTGCAGAATCTATAGCAAATCAAAGGATCACAGCATTTAGAATGGAAAAGGCCCCTATTGATACCTCCGATGTAGAGGAGAAAGCAGAAGAAATCATCTCTGAAGCTGAACCTCCTTCGGAAGTGTATCTTTCCTGGGTGTTTTTGGTAAAAACAAGAAGATTCATAACACTTTGGGTATTATTAGGGCTCTGTGAAGTGTGTGCATATGGAAATTTGTTTTCTGAAACACTGTACTTTGTTAGAAAAAAACATTTAAGATATGAGACAAGATAGTGATGAGTCATATTAAATTGATGGTGTAATATCTACCTTCCCTTCAGCTATCCTACCAAAACCAGAAAATTCTTTTATTTTAAGAAGCAATTTACAGCATTTCATTTTCCTTTGGAAAATTGTTCCCTAATCTCACTGGCATGGTCAGACACTATACATTATACACATTGTTCTTATTTTTTTTAATAAATTTATTTACTTATGTATTTATTTTTGGCTGCATTGGGTCTTCGTTGCTGCACGCGGCCTTTCTCTAGCTGTGGCAAGCAGGGGCTGCTCTCTGTTGTGGTGCTCGGGCTTCTCATTGCGGTGGCTTCTCTTGATGTGGAGCACGGGCTCTAGGCGCTCGGGCTTCAGTAACTGTGGCTCACGGGCTCTAGAGCGCAGGCTCAGCAGTTGTGGCGCACGGGCTTAGTTGCTCTGCAGCATGCGGGATCTTCCTGGACCAGGGCTCAAACCCATGTCCCCCTGCATTGGCAGGCGGATTCTTAACCACTGCGCCACCAGGGAAGTCCCCACATTGTCCTTGAAGTTCATTCATTCACCAGATTTATTACTGCAACTAAAATGTTCAGAGCAAGTGTGTCTCTCAATATTTCTCACCCATTGTGTCCATAAAATCTTAACCTGAGTTATACACTATTTCTTCTTCACTGTCCAGCCATCCATAGTATAGCTATTAGTAAATTTTTTTCCTAATAATTTGAGGCACACTTCAATCAATCTTAAAGGAAGAAAACTTTCATTCTAATCATTTTCAGCACTGCATCAAATAGCAGTATTTCTGTTATTCAGTTTTCTTAACTTGCTAAGTGTTTCGAAACCTGTGCTGTGGACTCCTGGAACCGCCCAAATTGGAGAGGGAATAGAAAACTCCTGGGGTGATCTTGAAGACTCTGAGAAGGAAGACGAAGATGAAGGTGGCAGTGATGAAGCTATTATTCTTGATAGTATAAAAATGGACACAGGAGAAGTCTCTAATATTGGAAGCCAAGGTATGTGATACTTTATGGCTATATGTAATATATATATATATATATACACACACATATATATCCCTATTTTAGGAATCTTATTTTTATATTAGCAGTTGGGGCTAAATATTTTGTAATTTAAATTTCAACTAAACTGTTGAGGCTAACTGCAAGAATATGCTTATCTTTGAGGAACAGTGGTATTCTTTGGTATGTGAAGGGAGTGGCATTTTTTATTTTTAAGTTTTTTTTTTTCTGTTTTTGTATCTTATCCGGGCCAGTTTTAAGGGGATGAGTTTCTTAAAATCTCATTCCTGTGTGCTGTTTTTTCTTTGTATAGTTTCTAGACTCAAACATAAAAAGGCAGTATCAGAACGTATATTAGAGTAGTGCCATCCATAGAACTTTCTGCAGTGTTGGAAATGTTCAGTCTCTACACTTTCCAGCATAGTAGCCACTAGCCACATGTAGCTACTGAGCAGTGAAATGTGGCTTGTGTGAAGAATTCTAAATTTTAATAAACAAGGAGGGATCTAGGAAGTAGGTTGGTGGAGAACTAAAGGATGCAGCTATTAAATCTGGCTGAGAAAATAGTGAAGGTGATACTGCCTGCCTTCAAGGAAGATCATTGCCTGTAAATATTACTGAGGACCTGCTGGGGTTTTTTGTAAAGCAAAAAAAAAAAAAAAAAATCCCCATTAATTGGGACCCTTATTCAGCTTCCCCAGTGGTTACTTCTATTTAGTATTATTCTTCCAGACCTCGTTCCATGTATTTACTATATATTTACACCAACATAAGCTGCTTAAACAAAGGGACTATTTATTGATAGATGTTAACTTTTTTTTTTTTAACTCCATATGCTTTTATATATTTGTGAAATTTTTCTAATAGGGAGAAAGTAATTGAAAACTCTATTTAAATATAAAGAATTAATGTAGTAAGTTTCATGGGGAAAATGGACAAAAGAACGGAAACAGACGTTTCTGTTCTTTTGCCCATTTTTCGTTTCTGTTCCTATTTGTATTTGCATTCCCAAATACAAACGGCCAGAAACACATTGGCAAGGGTGTATAGGAAAATGGGTTAATATACTATTCTTGGAGTGTAAATTGAAACGTTTCTGGAGGGATCTGGCAAAAATGTCTTTCGGAAGGTATATGCCTTTTGACCCAGTAATTTGTTTCTAGGTATTTTTCCTTTTAGTGTTGTTTATAATAGGGAGATATTTAAAATCTAGATCTTCAAAATTAACAAATTCAAGGAGTAGCACAAGGAATTCGGTTGGCATGTTGACTTGTTTCCTAATTGGTTCTATAAGATGCTCTGTGTGTGTGTGTGTATAGTGTGTGTGTGTGTATATATATATATATACACACACACACACTCACACACTATACACACACACACATGTATGTAGAATTATCCCCCTCATTTTAATTCTTTTAAAGAAGCACACATAAGGTTTTTCAGAGCTCCAAGGAATAACCTCAGGGAAGGGAAGAACCAAATAGTAGATCTGTAAGCCTCCACCCAAAATGCTGCTTGGGTTCTCTATCTGAAACTTATATTCCTTTCTTAACATTTTCTTAAAAGATGCCCCTATAGTGCTCTCAGACAGTGAAGAAGAAGAAATGATCATTTTAGAACCAGATAAGAATCCGAAGAAAATAAGGTAACAAATTTCTGGTTTATTTCAAATGTATACATATACTCAAGACTTTTTAGAAGCTTGCTCTCTGGGTTTCTTCAACCTGAGATTTATAGAATTAGGTCTGTAAAACTGCTTGGATGCCTTTCAAGGTTACAGTATTCTTCTGTCATAGGTGGCAAAAGTAAGCTCCTAGTACTAATACTGTTAAAACTTGTTAATTTACTTTGTTCACAGAACACAGACCATCAGTGCAACACAAGTAAAAGCACCAAGTAAAAAGCCAGTGAAAAAGAGAAAAAAGAAGAGAGCTGCTAATTAAAGTTCACATAGTTGTATATTTGTGTATATAACTATTAAAAAGGTATTTATTCAGTGCTAACAACCTTGGGTATTATTCACAAACCCATTACAGAATCTAGTTCTTTATACAGTTTTTACATTATGCTTTAAAATAAACGTCTGGAGGACTCTTTAAAACAGGTTTTAAATAACTGTCACTTTGGTAGGTCAAGTATAGTAAAAGTCGATGAATGAAAAGCATTTTCGTAGTGTGTACAAAGACCTGAAAGAGTCTTCTTAGATTATGCCCAAGTCAGACAGTTGGCCCAGTTCCTTAGGGAGGTGAATGTCATCACCTGTGTGTTGGAAGGAGAAGCCTTCCCTGTCCCCATGCTTCAATAAACCAAATTAATTTTTCTAAGTGAAATCCTGAAGTCAAATTTTTGCCTCAAATTAAATTTGACTTACAAACCAAATTTTCCAAATCAATTTATTTCTTATTATCCTGACAGCTGGCATCATTAATACTTTAACAAAAACCACTTAAAATTAGCCAAATATCTAAGATAGTTACATGTACAAAAGATATACAAATTAAAACCTTTAAAAAGTAATAGATACCATAATTTGTACTTGACCATAACTTCCGTATTCAGAAATGATTGTAAAATTAAAACCTAAGATAAAATCTGTACACCATATACTTTGAGTGATTTACATCCTAGAAAACAAAGGCAGTCTTTCACCGTTACACATTTAGTGTCTCGGGTGGGTTGAGGAGAGAAACACCATGATACCTGTAAGCAGGGAAAAAAAAATCCATTTTTAGTAAACATTCATTGGGTGAAACAGATTATGGAATGAAACATATACTAGGAACTCACAAATGCTATTTCTGTCTACTTGAATTAATGGTTATAAAACCATAGTGTGGTCCCCAACACTTGCATGCATGCCCACCGTTCCTCTCCCCTCTTCTCCCTCAAATACAAGACAGAAGCTCAAAACACATGGCTGCTAAGAGAACAGTTGCTTAAGGAGGCTGTGCCTGATTTGTGAATCCCTTAAATAAAGTTAAAATGTCAAGGATCTCTGAACCGTACGATAGCCTGGAAAAGCAAGCTTCTTTGGTATCTACTGCTGTTAATTCTTACTTTGAGTTTTTGTACTTTTCTCTTATTGACTGTTGTGCATGCCGCGGAGCTCTGAGGTAGGTCTGGTGAAGGTCCATGAGACAAGGCTTTAGAGTTTCCAGCGTATATCCAGTCTTTTGTACTAATGATTCAGGCTGCAGGAGGGAGGACGGAACCACTGAGTTTTGTTTTTAGTAACAGACACTGAATACAAGTTAGTAGTTGGCATTAGTTGGCTTGAGTTTTGTCCTAACACCTCCAACTAACATCTTCCAGTTTTCTCAAGCTCTTTTTGCTAACGTCGATCAATTTTTACTATTTTCCTTGCCAACAGCAAGTCTTATGGCCTGAATTCTTTAAGCACACCTTTCAAATCCAAGCATTAATAGTAACCAAGCTTTCTACCTAACAGATGCTATTAAACAGGTAAGACAAAATGCTTTCAACAGTGTACGTGGTTGAATAGCTCTTCCAGTTCAGTACATCTAGACAACTGTCAGTTGTATAGGACAGTTATTTAACCTGTCTGGCACAAGCATTTACAGCACAAGGTGGATGTGTGAGGACGTCGTCATACATACCCAGCTTTGTCCCGTGACAGTGTAGAGTGCTAAATGAAAGGCTGCTGCGGCGGTAACTGATGGCAAATACTTTAGATATGGGTCAGCATCTATCAAACTTAATTCTCCCAAAAACTGGAATGAAAAAGTAAATATACTTGATGATCATAAGAGCTCTGGAATTCAAAACTCAAATCCTTACCTTCTGACTGAATATTTTGCTGTCTTTAAGACTGGCTCTGTAGCAACCATTGCCACATCTTTAAATATATTCACTATCATATTTTGCTTCATTCTCATCCTGTATTTTTCCTCCTTTAATAGCTTTAAAAACAACTCTTCTGGCTACCATTTACCAAGACTTCCTCCTCATACCACTATTCCTAGTGCTTTCTCCATTTATGTTTTCTTTTGCCAATGGCAGGCTTTCTTTCATGCTGCAGCACTAACCTGTCCCCAGAATACTAAATCCCTTGTCCAAGGCTGTATAATGAAACTAGAGCTTGCCCCTAATTGTGACCTTAGAATCTTCATTCAGCAAATGAAAAGAACTTACCATTGCTAAACTTTCAACTTTGCAGTTTGCAGACTGCTGGTGCAGAAAGTACTGGGTAAGAAACTGATTTATTGTTGGTGCAGCTAAGTCAAAAGCAAGGACTTTCAAAACTAGGTGCTCCATTCTCAGAACTTGTTTCTTGGTATAAGTGTCATCTGTAATGTATACAAACTCTGCTACTTCTGGGGGGTATATTTCTTCAAACTTTCTACAATGAAAGAAGTTTTAAGTAATCAGTCCTCTTATAAGAAAAGCTTGTTTGTCCCAACTTGAAATCCCTTAAGCAGAATGAATGGAACGAATCCAAAACCAGTTGCCTGTTTGCACTGATACTTGACCACTTCTAGCCAAGACTAGGCAAATGCTAATTAAAAGCCCCAAATATTTCTCCCACTTCAGTCAAAGGAAGTAAGTGAGAGGCCGACTTCCCAAGATGGGAACAATGCCAGAGTTCACCAAGTAACTGAAAATGTAGGAAATTTCCTTAGAAAAATAAATAATTTACATTTTAGTTTTCATGTCTTAATGGAGAAAAGATAAGATTTTGCTTATATACCAGAAAGTACTTTAAAGTAGAAGGAACCACTCTGTAACCTAGTCCTGGTGTATTAAAATGTCGCCAATCTGTAGGTTCATTCAAGGTGCCCTGAAATCCAGATCTAGGAAAATTAATGTCCTAAATTTAAAAAGTTTCATCCACTCCACCATCCCTAAAGTAGTCGCTGACTCCCTGCCTTGTATAGTATGTTAAAATGTCATACTTTAATTAAAAGATCACAATTTCTTCCCTACACAGAAAGATACTACTAATCACTTTTAACCCAACAAACCAAGTTGTACTTACGAGGCTAACAGCATAGCAGCAGTGCCCACAAGCTGAAGTTTTCCTCTCAACACAGACATCGATGAAAGAAACCTATCAATGTAGTTCACAGCCAAATGCAGGGTCTCATTCTGTAGTTTATATTCTTCTCCTACTTCAACTAACCAGTCCACGAGGATAGCCCTCATACTGTTAGTAATGTCTGGCTGTTTCTTCATGTAACCCACTTTAGGCTTACATTTAACCTGTTGAGAAGGTTACTTAGTATAGTGTTAAAACTGCAGTTAGATCATTCTACCATTAACAGATGCTGCCTATATGCTAGAAACTTAAGTATAGCATTAGAGTAATTCACTGGCAGTTAAAAAACTTAAAAACATTATCCTCTTAATTTCCTTTCACCACAGTGAACAAATAGTGTAAAAAGTAGATTCAGAGAGCCTTTACCTCCATTTCCCTAAGGTATGTGTGAATGTCCTCATGGTAGTCTGGTACTTCATTAACACTCACTGGCTTTTCATCTTCCAGTACAATTGACATATCCATAGTATGTGGTGACTCTGGGAGAATTCAAAAGTACAGTGAAGTTCACTTTTCATTTTCGACTTAATTTAAGAGCTAAAAGTGATTGCCCTTGTAAGGAGTCCCAAACTACCAATGTGTTTATTTCATCCAACTAAAAAGAGCTTGTTATGACAAAGTACATAGAAGATTTAACTCTGATTTTAGTACCTATGTCCACTTAGTTTTGGAATGATTTTAATTAACAAGAAAAAGTACTGACAAACCATTAACAGGAAAATGAGTTAGAGGAGCAGGTATTGAAGTATCTTCATCTCCCATGACAGGAGTACACTGGTTTTGCTAGGACAAAGTTAAAATCCAAGTTTGGAGATATCTAGGATTTGTCAAAAGAGAGTTTGCAGACCCCTAAGTCTAACATTCAAAGCACAATCCAGGCAGTAACTAGGAGTAGGGCTAACAAGTGTGCTAAAGAGAAACTCAGATTTCTTATGGGCAGTTCAAACACATTAACACTAATATCAATGGGTGATTCTTTTTTGGTAAATTTAAATTATCTTTGAAGGCAAAAAATATCCATTATTCTTTTTACTTCAAGGTTTGAGTTTAAAATTTGTTGCAGATTTTAAATAAAAATACACCAATTATTTTATTTCCATAGGACTTCGCTGCTATACCTCTCATCTACAGAACTAAAGCTGAGATTGAATTTAGTGAGCTGTCCAGTGACTCGATAGCCTGATGGTAAAGAAGCAGCACAAACTGTAGTCAGAGTTGTCTATAGCAGCTACTCTGACTCACAGGAGGACAATGTCCTTCTCTGGTATCAGACAATCACTCAGACTGATTTTACAGAAACAAAGTTTTAAAGGTGGAAGAGACGTTGGCTATCTCAGTATTTAAAGCTGCATTCTCAAATAGCACTCTATTTGAGAATGGTATGTACAAAGTGAGTCTTAACACAATTGAAATATATTCTCCCAATCAAGCAAACATTTCCAGGGTCAGATTAAAATAAGTCTGAGATCTAATGAAATTGATGTGATTAGCAGTGTACCAGAAGGAGCACAGGATTAGGATCCTTTTGTAGGTCACTGGGTCTTGGCTTAGCTGTGAGGCCTGAGATAAGTCACACCCTTTCTAAACTTGTTACATTAAACCTAACTCATAATGTAGTTAAGGATCAGGTAAGATAATGTTTTGAAAAGCAAAATTTCATTAATCCAGTCTATTCAATAATTATGATTACATTGATTTGATGTAATCAAATGATGTAATGATGTAATCAAATGATGATGTAATCAAATGATATGATTACATTGATTTGATACAAATTTGATACAAATTTTCTTTAAAACTTACCAAAACTACCATCCATTGGGTAATCAAGAGGTGCCAGTGGTTTTCTCGGTCCTGGTAAAGTAACAGCTGAATTAAAAGCCAAAACATCTTCACTTTCTGGTTTTTTAGATTCAACTGGCCTCTTTTGAGTCTCTTCTTCTGCTTCATCCACATGAATGGTAAATGCAGGCTGTTGACTGTTTGCTTTCCAGGTAGGAACGGTGACATGCTCATCATTTATAGGAAGATCCTTAAGAGGTGCAACCTAAAAAATAAATAACTGGCTTTGAGCCTATTAAGTGGCATTTTGTTCTGCTTTCATCCCCTTATACTGCATTTACTCCCAATTACTCTATCAGGAAAATTAAACTTTAGGGGGGAAAATCCAGACAAGGAAATTTGAGTAGTCAGTCGGAGAAAGAAGGGATGTTCCAATTTGTCACAGGCATTCCTGCAAGGGTTTTAGAGTCAGATTAAGTGGAATTGGGCAAAACTAATCAAGGCCACGAGATGGGTGGAGTGGCAGGGCGAAAAATGCCAAATTTAGGAGAGATGGCAAAAAAGTGGTTTACCTCTTTCGCCCCAGGGTGGAGCAACAGAGCAAATTCGGTAAGATGGCGGAATTGACCAAAAGCAAAGTATTTTTTATACCCTTTCCTAAAGCAGAGGTAATCTCTTAACCATATGGGGAGGATGAAGGAAGTCCGAGCAGTGCCTGGGGCTTAAAAGCAGAGAGAAAGGCGTGGAGGCGGGCAAAGGCCATACTCATGTTGTACGGCTTGGTTTGACTTCGTTATCTATAGAAAAATACTCCCAATGGAGGAGAGCGGACAGGCAGCACAAACGCAGAGTGCTGGCAGAGAGAGTAATGGGAGAAACTAATGGGAGTAATGTGGCATCCTACACTCCAGAAAACCAGGGATCAAGGGACTCCAGATCCTGGCTTCCCGCGAAAAGGCCAGGGGATGCTTTCTCGCCACTCTCCTCTGCCGGCTAAACCCCTGCAAAACTCCCGCTCGGCCCACCCTCCTGCAGATACGGCTCACTGCTTTACCCGTCGCGTCTTAGGCCTCTGCTGCGGCGCTGGTCCCCGCGAGTTCCCGGCCTTCAGTACCGCCAGCCCAGCGCGGGTCCGGGACTGCTGGGTGGGCGCCGCCTTCTCGGGGTTGATGTTCTCCTGGTCCTCCTGGAGCGCCGTCTGCTGCAATGTTAACAGCGCCGAGCCTGCCTCGCGGGCCGCAGGCCCGGGCGCGGAGCTGCCCAACATCACTGCTCCCGGGGGCGCGGCAGGATCAGCCTGCGGCGCCAAGCAGCGTGCACTGCGTCCCGCCGATCAGCCTAGGTACACTCCAGCTGTACCCGCCCGCCGCAGCTCGGGCCAGCCTACCCACCCGCTGGCCCGCTCGGGATCGTGTAGGACCGAGGAGGTTGCGAAAGGCGGAGGCAGGCACTGCCGGACGTGGAGGGCCAAAGACGCCCCCGAAATGAAGCGAGCAGCCCGCCGGAGCGGCGGCTGTTCATGCAGTTCAAGTATCCCGCGACTATTGAAATGGACCAATGAAAAGAGCCGAGGCCCGTGACGTCACTCGGGGCGACGCGGTCGCAGGCGAGTGAAGGCGGTGCGAAGGCAACCGAGCAGGGGCGGAGCGGGGCGAAGAGACGTCGAACGGCGGCAGGAGGAAGTACGCGCGCCCGGCGGGGAGGCGGGGCCTAAGTCTACTGTGACTTTAAATAGGGCCGCTAGGCGGTCCCTGTCTCGGGGCAAGGGCTGTCTCTAGGATAAACTGAATTAAACTTTAGCAATTAGTAGCGGGCCGCCCCGGCCTTCTGCCCTAGGACCTCCAGTTAGCTTGACTGACTAGTTTCTCAAGGTCTAAAATCTGATCCGGCCACATACTGGCCTGGTGGTCTTGTTCAAGTTATTCAGTGTCTCCAATTCTCAATTTTCCTATCTGTTAATTGGGAATGATATCTACGCGTTATACAGTTGTCGTTAGTATTAAATAACGTGCATAAATCATTTAACACGCTGCTTATGTAACTGATATAATATTGAAAGACTATAATGTCATCTTACCATTTAGGTGTTTCTTCACAGTCTTATGCTTTTTATTTTTCCTAATGAAGATGCAATTAATTTAAAGTGCCACCTTGAACTACTGTTGATATATGTAACAAACAGTAATGTACTACAAGAAATTCAACTAGACAGTCATTAATTTTTATCTCTTTTTTTCCCCAAGGTGTGGCAGCCGACAAAAAGCTCGGAGTAAAATTCTAGTGACCTAGATATAATTATGTGTTCCATTTAGAAATGAAGGTTGTTTAAACATAGTAAAAACAATATGACCTTATAAAAGTAAAACTCTCTTAGCAATATGTGCCTTTAACAAATTTTCACATTTAATATACAACAAGGCTTGCACATAACTAATAAATATAATGGTATATAATTAAGAAGCACTGTTGTTTTCCAACAAATTCATAAGTGTGCCCTTCTTGAAAACACACAGAATAGTTTATTTTCTATTGTAATCCTTATGCTATTTTAAACAACCTTTAAGTACAGTATTCACTTGAATATGAATAAAATATGAATTAAGATTAATGACTTCCATAGCCTTAAAGTCATATTTCCCTCCATTTATGATAAAAAAGAAATCAGTGGATATTAGTGCAGGAAAATCTAAGAAGCTGTCACTATTTCGACACTATTCACATGTAGTATACTTGTATAGCCCTACTGGTTACAGCACATCAAGTTAAGATCCCCCCAATCTGTGCAAATTCTGCTGATTTCCCTGGCCAACTCAAGTATTTTACAAACTGAGCATGGGTCACAAAACATTACCAAGCAACAGCAAAATCAATTGTAAATCAATCTCAATTGCTAAAAAAAATGTATGTTATTTCCCCTGGTTGACAACATACATAGTAACCAGAACGCAATCCAGGCACCAGAACTTGGGTTCCACCTTTACAAAATAATAGCATGTCCTCTTAAACACTTAACCTCACTGAGAATCAGTTTTCTTACATGATTTGACAAAATAATCAATATATGTTGTCAAGATCAAATGAGGAGGGACTTCCCTGGTGGCACAGTGGTTAGGAATCCACCTGCCAATGCAGGGGACACGGGTTTGATCCCTGGTCCAGGAAGATCCCACATGCCGCGGAGCAACTAAGCCCCTGCGCCACAACTACTGAGCCTGCGCTCTAGAGCTGGCGAACCACAGCTACTGAAGCTTGCGTGCCTAGAACTCATGCTCCGCAACAAGAGAAGCCACCACAATGAGAAGCCCTCTCACCGCAGTGAAGAGTAGCCCCGGCTCGCTGCAACTAGAGAAAGCCCGCACGCAGCAGTGAAGACCCAACACAGCAAAAAAATTATTAATTAATTAATTTAAAAAATAATTAGCCAAAAATAAATTAAAAGAAAAAAGATCAAATGAGATAACATATGTAAATACATTTTGAAAACCGTAAAGCAGTTTATACATATGTGTGTTAGCTTATTAAATATTTGAATATATTTTTATTTTCCAAATAATAGTTCTCGATTATTAGAAACATTATAATTATTATAAAATAATTATTTTATACAATGATTATTATAAAACATCCACTTGAAAAAAATTCATTAAAATCCCTTATAATCATTCCACTTGTTTTAAAAATAAAAATTCTCTTTATTTTAAAAAAGTTCCATTTGTCCTCCTATCTCTCTCTCTCTCTCTCTTTTTTTCTCTCTTACTCCTCTTCCTCTTCCTCTTTCTCTGCTATGTGAGGACACAACAAGAAAGCAACCATCTGCAAGCCAAGAAGAGAGCTCTCACCAGAGCCCAACCACGCTGGCACCTTGACCCCAGACTTCCAGCCTCTAGAACTTACGTGGACCTCTCACTGCCATGGCCTCTCCCGCTGCGGAGCGCAGGCTCCGGACGCGCAGGCCCAGCGGCCATGGCTCACGGGCCCAGTCGCTCCGCGGCACATGGGACCCTCCCAGACCGGCGCACGAACCCGCGTCCCCTGCATTGGCAGGCAGAGTATCAACCACTGCGCCACCAGGGAAGCCCTGAATGCGGATCTTGATGTTTGAATATGTTTTAACCTTGCACGATGTCTATACTAACAATATATGGGTTGTTTGATAAATAAATATTTTAAAAATTAAAAAAAAGTTCCATTTGTCAAAAAAAATAGAAGCATTACTAAAAAAAGTCATAACATATATTTTTAGATAATATTAAAAAACGCACTTGAAATAAAAGTATATACAGTTAGCTTGCAATTCTATTTTAACATTTTTAATTTAAACATACAACTTCTTTGGAACTTTACCTTATTTATATTTCATGCAGCATCAAAGAAAGCAATCAATGCATTTTGGTCATAACTGTCCAGAATCTCCAGTAAAAGAGGCACTTTGGTTTTTACATTGGTGCCTTTGAATTTGAACTTATCTATGAAAAGATCGGTGATCATGCCTATAAAGAAAAAATGTTAATTTTCTGTCATTGATTAATTCTATTAATGACACATTATTTAATGAAAGTAAGTGACTGCTTGAGAATCTATTTCTAAGCACCTGTAATTCCATTATTTAACATACAGAAATCTGAAAGGATTGATGCATCAAAAAATATTTGGGGGGGATTTTAAGGCAAGTTTCAAAATATAAATCATTTGGCTAATAACCCTCTTAACAATTGGCTATAAGCTATTAATTCAGACAATCAACTGCTGGCCAGTTTTGAACTGCTATTGGTATATATAAAATTACAACAGGTGGGTTTTTTTTTTCCACCAGGCTGACCATTTTGACACAGTGTAGACATATTCTGTTCATAACAGCTTTATCTGAATTAAAATATCCCATCTATATGTTGACCATTCTTAGGATTTGACTTGAAGGCAAGTATTTCTAGTTTCAAAGATCTGGGCAAATTATTTCACCTTTGAGTTTTTGCATATATATAGTGGGAATAATTCAAGCTATCAATCTTTTATCCAAAACTCTTGATGCAAGATGTGTTTCAGAATTTTTCACATTTTAGGAAGATAATAAAAGGAATATACCATATATATGGCATAATACCCGTGGAAAGTGAGTGGCAGCATCTGATAACAAAACATAACATTTCTGCAACAAAATATATGAATATTCATACTAAGTGGAATAAAAAAACTATAAATAACCTCATATCAGTTTAAGTGAGGTTTTGTCATTAATTCAGATCAAGTCAGATTTATTGCCAAATGATTTATGAACAAAGTTTTTGATTTCAAAGCTCTCTGGACTGTGGAATTGGTGATAAGATATGGTGGTTCTGCACCACCCATCTTCTAAGTTGTAATGGGGATAAAAGATCATGTGTTTGCCACATAGTAAATATTAAGATATTAGATATTATTGTTACCGACCGTTTATGAGCAAGTCTCTGGGCATAAAATAAATTCATTAGGTAGATCTTAAGGATCAATATGGACGGATGATACCAACTGACTCTACAGAAGACTCGGCACAGTGCAAAAAGCTTGCATTTGGGGGCAAGGAGGTTCTAATGAAGGCTTTGCCACCACCTACCTATGTGACAACACATTCTTAAGCTCAGATTTCAGTTTACAGATGTGAAAACCAGAGATAACACTATCTACCTTGCTGAGCTGTTGTAAGGATTAAATATCCCCCCTAATTATAAAGATGTTATAAATAAATAGGCGTGCTATGCACAATAGGTCTTACATAAAGATCACAAAAAATGTCTCCTTAAGCTGTTCCTTCCTTCCTCCCTCTTGCTCTTGCTTTTTCAATACAACTGTGAAACATTCAACTTCTCACCACCAAAGCAGAATGAGTTTTAAACATAAACTGACACAGCACATATATACCCCCTATTAAATTTTGCATAAAAATATTAAATGCTGCATTTTGATATTTCAGAATAGCAATAAAAACTGAAAATTATTTGTGTGAAATATAGCCTAAATTGTAATGCTTCATAGGATACATTCATTTCACACTGGGTTTCTTCATATATATAGATTAATTCATTGCATTAGACTTATTTCACTTCTTAATATTTATTTGTATTTTATCTAGTAAAAATATTAAACATTAAAACCAACTTGACAAAATAAATATATTGGGCAGTACATGGGTTGTTACTGGTTCATGACTGCTGTAATCTTTGCCTGTCTCCTCCTGCCCAGCTTCTCTCATGTGATCCTTTGCAAACAGCCAGTAGAAAAGAAATATGACAAGGTATTATAGAATAGTTCACTAACCATAGAGTCTTTCAAGATGTGCAGGTTGCTTTTTGTATTCTTCCTGTAGGTGATCTGCCTCTTCTAGGATACAGCGATATTCTGGTATCAGAAAGTTTGTGTTTCCCTCATGAACCTGCAATTCCTTATTTAAAAAACAGAAGCTCTTAATGTTCAAAATTTAATCCAGTGTAAAGTGGATTTAAAGTGGAAAACTTTAAGGTCTTTACAATTTTAGAAATCCCATCACAATAAAATAATGATCACGAGTCCCGTGACACAAATACTTACTTTTAAAGCATCAATTAATTGCACTTTCTTAGCCAAAAGCAACTGGTACTCCAGCTTTGGGTGGATTAGCTTTAATGTGTGTTTGACTGATACTTCATTTATCTCTATAAGAAGTTAAGTCAGGCACAATTAGATAAGTCACTTTGATCAGGAACATTCTTATTGTAACAACAACCCCCCCCCCCCAAAAAACAAAGAATGATTCTTTTTTTTTTTTTACCATATAATATGTTGAGGTTAATTTTCCTTTTTGTAGCTTCTTTAGAGAGCACATCTTTTAGGATGGATATAGTAGAAATGTTGTCAGATTTAAAAACTCCTTCACCTTTTCTATAAAATTAATATTTTTAAAAGAACAGCTTTAGAAGGAAATACATCCAATAAATATGTCCAATAAATACATATTTTGCAAATAGGACCTTGTGTCTAGACTTCATTTAATTTTAGATTTCTTTATATACACATCTCATTATTAATGTAAAACATATTTAAACATGTAACCTTTTACTGTTGTAGCGATTCAAGTTCTAAACATACTTGTAAAACTGAATAAAAGATGTTAGACACATGCCTCCGAAAGATACGACAATTTATATAAGTTCTTCATTTAAAACAACTTTTTTTCATTTTCACTAATAAAATTTCCAATAGCTAACCCCTTATGTATATAAAATGCATTTAGAATTGCTTGCTTTCACATAAGTTTTTTTTTATGTAATCACATAAATTACAGCATGACTATATGCTTCATCCTTAAAAGAAAGCTAATATCAAACCTAAGACTAACATCTTCTGTTCTTCCATGCCCAGCATCCATTGCCACTTCTTATGTTCACAGGACCCTTCTTTTTCTTTATGGAACCCCTCCTTCTCTCTCTCTCTTTCTCTCTCACCCTTTTCAATCCATATAGTTTCATTGGCACTGGCCCCAACCCCATTTCTGGGACTTCAGGAGGAAGTTTTCAGCAGCGTATTCCATACCCCTGAGCACAGTGGTTCACGACTCAACGATGATACTCAATCCTGGGACTTTTATTGGAACTAGTGGGAAAGAAAGGCTATGGTAGCTGAAAAGATATAAAGCTGGATGGAGCTGTTGGTGGCCACCATGGCACTACATAGGAAAGCCAAGAGAAGACAAAAACAGAGCTGAGCAATGGAAAGGGATAAAGTCTTGACAATATCAGTTAAGCCATTGATCCAGTTATGCTTGAGGCAGACTACTGCTAGTCTTTTAAGTTACATGAACTAATAAATTCCTTTTACTTGGTTAAGCCTGCTTACGTTTGGTTCCTTTTTATGATGACCAAAATTTTCCTAATTAATATATACCATCTTTTACATATTCAGTGTTGCCTTTTTGTTTGCTTTTATATTGACTGCTTTTTTTTTCTTTTTTTCTAGAAAGATGAATAATACACACTTATTTTGATCCCAATTATGTGTTAGAAATCATGAGATTTTTTTCACTAGTCTTCAATTTTAATTAATAATATTTAACATTAAATACTTATGCAGTACCTGGCACTGCGGAATGACTCACGTGGTTTATCTTCCTTTAAGCATCACAATTCAGTGAAGTAAGTGTTACTATTTCTATTCGTCAGAAAAGAAACTGAAACCCAGAAAGTTAAGTAATGTAGCTAAGAGCAAATAGCTGGTGAGTCACAGAGCCAGATTCAAACCTAAGTATGTCTGTCTCCAAAGTACACGCTTCTATACTTCTTCCATATATATGTATTTTATGGAACAAAAAACCTTTACTGTGTACCACTATGTTCAAAGCCATGTGTTAGATACTTGGAGGATACATACAAAGTTAATTAAGAATAAACTCTGCCCAGAGCTTACAATCTGATTTACAGACAAGCTTACATAAAAATTATTATATACTTCAAAAAAATAACAATAAAAATCTAAGGCAGGTAAGAATAAAATGTTATGGGAACAGAGAATAGAATCAAGGAAGACTTAAAAAATGTACCTATTGAGTTGGGCCTTGAAGAATAAGTAGAGTTTTGACTATTAAGGAAAGAATATTTAAAGACACAGAATGGTAAAAAGCAAAGGTATGCTATTATAAAAATATGTAGTATGCCAGGGGCCTGTCAAATTGTCTGCTATGATTAAAACGTGAGGTTCGCTGTGGTACTTCAAAATTGAAGTCATGATTCCAGGTTTACACAGGTAAGATCCCCTGGAGGGTACAGTGAAACACCCCCATAGAACTGATGCTAAAACCAATTAGATTTCTGGAGAGTTCTTGGTCCCAAAGGCTATATTCAGAGGTAAAATTATGTGTTCACTGTTGTTTCCAGAACCTAGCATCGTAAAGTCTCAGCTAGGAAGCAGAAAGTAGAATACCTCAGTAAACTGCTTAGGGAGAGAAGCTTTAAGAGACAGAGACAGAGAGAAGATAAGAAACCTCCTCCCCTCCAAACAAACAAAATCAAAAAACAAAAGATCAAACAAACAAAAACAACCTGCAGATGTGAGAGAATGAGAATGCAAAAACCTTGCAGAAGTATGAGGGTACAAGCTCAAAGCAGATGTAGAGAAACCAGCTTTACCCAACACATTCAGAAAAAGAACAAAAGAGAAGGAAATTTTAGCCTCTACTATATTCAGAAACAGAAATTAGGGGAGCCTATGGGAGATGAGTAGGGAGTGACAGTGAAGGGGGCAGGAGGGCAACTGGGAGCTTGAGAAGAGTGTCAAGGAATAATGACCTTCACCTCAATGTGGTCACTTCAAAAGCCTGCATGTTCTAAGCTCTCAAGTTCTTGAGCCATTTCCTATTTTTGCATAAAGAAATTCAATGGTAATTCTTCTTGTAATTCTTACTGGAATTAGGATAAATGTTCAAATCAATTTGGGAAGGACTTGCATGTTTACATTGTCTTCATATTGATAACTATAGAATATATTACTCCATTAAATCAAGTCTTTAATGTCAATAAAATTTTAAAGTTTTCTTCATGAAGTTCTATGTATTTCTAATAAAGAATATTCTTACAGATTTTACATGAACATTTTGTTATTGTTATCGCTGCTCTGAACGAATCTTTTTAAACAATTTATTTTCTAACTGGTTATGGCTGAGAATTGGAAAGGTATTGCTCTTTCATATCCATCTTTAGTCAATCATTTTTTAAACTCATTAATTCCATTTGTTTTTCAAAGATTCTCTTAAACAGTATAGTTTTTCAATCATATTATTTGCAAATTATTACTGCCTTAAAACTTATGAAAATTTAGAAGTTCCATTTATATAAAAAACACTTGTGAACCAGGAATAAGTTTTATTTACCTGTAGGTACTTTCAAGTTGTGTATCCAGGAAGGTGTTCTGAAAGTAAAATGTCACACATTCTCCTGCTGGAGGTTTTTCAGGAACTTCAGGCAGGCAAAAAACCACCCAGGAGTGAAGTTCAGCAAAACTGAACTGGCCTGTCAAAGTCAGTGTATTCATGGGTCTGCAATTAAACAGTAGAGGTACACATATTTGTCTGGGAATACACAGAGGTATTATATGTACTCAACACATTAAAAAACAGAATTTTGCAACAGTAGTTACAAATAGAAAAGCAGCCATTTAATTTTTCTCAGGTTTATCTTACCCATCAGAGAAACATTTTGATTTCAAGGGGAAAAAAAAAGAATGCTTACCTATACCTGTACTTTTAATATTCAGTTAAGTGACATAAATAGCTTGTTTTCATTATAACATGCCTTCACAAATACAATTCAGTTTACTCAGGTAAATTCCATTTTTTAAAAGTTCATCTAGTGTTTATATTATAGGAACTACAAAACATAAGAATCTCCTAAAGGAAAAAATCAGCATAATGTGAAGGCAAAGAATTGGGTTTTTAAGTAAGATGGACATGGGTTTGAAACGCTAGCTGCATGCCACTGGGAAAGTTAGGGAATGATACCTTCTATTTTGCAGGGATATGGAATTAACTTTCTATCTGCAAATTACACATACACACAAAAGGTTGTAAACTAAATCAAATAAATTTAAAATAAATCAAATGGATAAAGAATTAAGAAAATGCAAGTTTATGGAATTAAAGGTACAGAAAGAATTTTAAGAGAATACAGAATAGAAAGGACTTTTGAGATTGCCACACCAACTCTATTTGCAGATGAGAGAACTAAAGCCCAGAGCTTAAATTATTTTCCCAAAGTCATGTAGGAACAGATATCAGGCTATATAATCTGAGTCTCCTGAGTCCCAGTTTGCTGTTCTTTCCAGAACACCACGCTATACCTCCTTTAACAACTCTGACTTTTAAGCAGGAAGACACCCTCAGAGAATCCATTCTCTTTAATGTTTTCCCAAAACCTTCCTTAGGAACTTTTCTCCTTACATCTTATTTAAATTACATACCTTTAAAATTACAAGCTGCAATAGAAAAATACATAGGCTTTGGCCTCAAATCTTCACTCTGTTTCTCATATCAACAAGTTACTTACTTTTCCAAACATTACTACTTGTTTTGCCGTAAGACTTAAATGGTAACACCTAAGCACTGAGCACAATGCATGGCACAGGGCAAGTATTCACTAATTGTTCATTTCTTTCCCTTCTTCATTTAAGGCCATGGTCTCTCATTTTCAGAAAAGAAAGTGAAAAACTATAACCAGGAGGGTAATTAAGTTGGAATGGAAGTTAGAAATAATAGGGACTATCACAACTAATTGCTCTACCAGTATTCCCTGAGGTGAAGTAGAAAGGAAATATAATGTTTGAGGCTAACACAATAAGGTCCTGTTTACAGAGAACTCAAATGCTAAACAGTATTTTCTCACGATAGATGTTTGAGACAGAGAACTATTACTCTACTGATTTCAGAATGGTAAATATATGAGAAAGATAGGAAAGTCCAGCTCAAATCAGCCTCTAAAAGAAGACAAAGACGCTTACGTCTATTAGAAATAATATAGGTATCCCCTGCTTTTTGAAAGTTCACTTTATGCCACTTTGTTTTTACAAAAGGCCTACACGAGTGCCTATTTTCGGTAACCAAGAGAAATCCAAAGAGGATTTTTGCTTTTACCAAGAAAAGGTGAAAAGCAAAAACAGCCTCAGCGTTTGTTCTGCAGCGGCTGTTACCGAAGCAGCAAGTACCCCAGCAGCACTGAGAGCAGCCCCGCCGAGTTCCTTCTCCAGGAACTACACTCATCAGGCCACATAGCTTTGAACTGTCTGTGAGCATCTGTGCTTTATCCCAATTTATTTTGAGCATCCATTATCAAGATGTGTCCTACAGTAACTGCTTCTTCGCTTTATGCTATTTTGGCTTATGAAAGGTTTCATAGGAACACGCTACTTTCAGATAGCGGGGGAAACCTGTACACAGCATTTAAATATTTATTTAATTTTTAAAAAGTACAACAAGCTACCAGAATTTACACTACTAAAATAAAAAGCAACTTTATCTGCATCATGTAATATCCTAAAAATAAACTTCTCCCTCCTTTGTCCTACCTGTCATGATCAATAAAGTGAGTTCTTTGATGGAGTGAAAGGGGTTTGATAAGGTACTGGCGGACCTGACATGTTTTGGGTTGAATTCTTGGAGTCACATATGCTTGAAGTGTGCCATACTGGCCTTCAATTGAGCGAATCTGAACACAAAAGAGGAAAGAAAATAAGAATAATCTGGCAACATAAAGGCTATCTTTAAAATGTTCAACACAAGCAAGCAGGCACTCAGACCGTAATCTCTTCTGTAATATGCTGAAGGAAATAAGGACATTCTATGAAACAAGAACTTTTTACCTCTACCGTAAAAGAAAATTTTAAAAGATTTTGGAAATCAAAAGCAAAATTAATCCATCTATGAAAGTCATCCCCACCACATATTTTTTAGGTCTGTCATTCCAAAAGACAGACATTTTCACACACCACCCTATCACATCTAAAAGTGTAGGTGTATAATATATTGTATAAGATTCACATAAAAAAAATGGTTAAAATGTAGACATTTTTGTTGAAGGGGTAAGTGGGTCAATAACTAATACTTCATTTTCTCAGAAATAGGGGTATTATAGCATATGGCTATTGTTATAAAAACCTACTGACAGAAAAAAAAATGTTTCCAAGAACTTAATTCTTGACTTTCTATGAAAATAGAGAAGCATACTCACAATTTACTTATGACATATTTGGATTAGGAAATTCTTTTTAAGCTATTTTGAATATGGCTAGTTGGACATCCTGAGAATTTAAAACACTTACAGAAAACCCTAATTCATGAAATTATGAAGACCTAATTTTAGGAGTTAGAAAGCAGTCAAGTTTCTCCCTCCTGTCCCTTTCAGCTCTTCTCTGTTCCAATTCATGAAGTGGATTGTAGTACCTGTTGTATTACAAAGGCAGCTTCTCTAATCTAACTGATACATCAGCTCATACTTTTCCTGGCATGTGAGGAAAAAAAATCAATGTTTTACCTAAATGGGAAACATAAATAAAAGTTTAAAGCAAGATTTTTTGCAAATTTTATACTGAAAATATTGTTCTGAATGGGAAGAGAGAAAAGATAAGGAAAAGAATAAAAATACAGAAGGAAAATAAAAAATCGATCTGATAAAGCTATATTTTAGGGTTTCTTTTTAAAGGGTAAGCTTACACTGGCACATAAATTTTTCCACAATAAGTTCACAATTAGTACAACACGGGGAATATAGCCAATATTTTATAATAACTGTAAATGCAGTATGAACTTCAAAAAAAGAATATAATTGTTCATAATATTAAGAAAAGTCATCATGCTTTCTCTGATTATATACTTCATATTCATTTTTTAAAAATCCACACAATGAAGAAAAATTAGGATTACATATAAGTAATCTGAAATCCTACCACCCAGAGATGATCATTATTGCTATTTTGATAGTCAACCTTTCTTTCATACATCTCTCTATGCAGATGTACAAAAATAAATGCATAACTTCACATGACTAAATTCTATTTATATCATAGACATCTTTGTTTTTATTTCTAATAACCAGATTTTTCCCTTATCTCTGCCTCTCCTAATACCATCACCTCCTTCCCACTCCCATCCCACCCATACCTTCCCCCTATTGTATGACCTATCATATCAGAGAGGTATGTTTCTTTTTATATATTTCTTCATATTATAGATAATATATATATATACATATGTAGGACTTTTATCTGCATTTTGTGTTTTTCATGGAATTTGCTCCATGTTAACAGGAATTGACCAACTCATTCTTTATTGCAGCTCTGCAATATTCTATGAAATGGATAAACAGCTATTTATTCAAACATTAAATTACTGAGTGTTCACTTTGGTTCAACTTTTCTACCTCTACAAACAATGCTGCAGTTAATTATATACATATCTGTATGTACAATACTGTGATTTTATTGCTATGAAATAGATTCCAACAAATGGGATTATAGCCTATTTTACCAAAGTAGCAATAAGAATTTTTATTTCCTTCAGCTATGATTGAGAGTGTCCTTTTCCTCATCCTGCCACCTGGTAATTCTGCTTTTTCAAAATTTTTGCCAATCTGTTAGACAAGTGGAAACTGATTTTTGTTATTTTGAGTTTCCCTAACTGATAATGAGGTAGAATATGTTCTTTTAATATTTGTTAGCTATTTTGATTCCCTCTTCTGTAAACTGCCTATCCACATTGGCCTATTTTCCTAATTGGGTAGTCTTTTTTTTTTTTAAGGAACAAGATTCTTTCTTTCTTTGGCTGCGTTGGGTCTTAGTTGTATGCGGGATGTTTCATTGCAGTGTGTGGGCTCAGAAGTTGTGGTGTGTGGGCTCTCTAGTTGTGGCATGTGGGCTCCAGAGTGCATGGCCTCAGTAGTTGCAGCACGCGGGCTCTCTAACTGTGGCACACAGGCTCAGTAGTTGCGGTGCACAGCCCTAGTTGCCCCATGGCATGTGGGATCTTAGTTCCCCAAACAGGGATTGAACCCGCGTCCCCTGCATTGGAAGGTGGATTCTTAACTACTGGACCACCCTGGGTAGTCTTTTTAAACAACTTATAGGCAGTCTTCATATTCTGATATTTACCCATTATCTGGAAGACAGCTTCTTTTTGAAAATAACTAGGTATTTAATTCATCTGAATTTATCTTTTATAATATATGGCATAAGAATCCACTTAATATTCTTCCAGATGGATGCCAGTTGTACCAATAGCAATTTTTTTTTTTAACATCTTTATTGGGGTATAATTGCTTTACAATGGTGTGTTAGTTTCTGCTTTATAACAAAGTGAATCAGTTATACATATACATATGTTCCCATATCTCTTCACTCTTGCGTCTCCCTCCCTCCCACCCTCCCTATCCCACCCCTCCAGGCTGTCACAAAGCACCAAGCCAATATCCCTGTGCCATGGCACAGTAATTTTTATTTTTTTAATTAATTAATTTATCTTTGGCTGCACTGGGTCTTAGTTGCTGTGGGTCTAACCACTGTGCCACCAGGGAAGTCCCACCAAAAGCAATTTTTAAATAAAAATAGTAATTTAATAGAATTTTCCCTATCTAAAAACGCTGGGCATTAAATTCCCATAAATATGTGCTGGGCTATATTTGTAAACTTTATTTTGTTGTGTGACCTATTTATTTAGGCCTTGTAAATACCCCACATTATTTTTATTATAGTAGTTTGATAGTACATTTTACCATAGGGCAAGATAAGTTCCACCTTTTCTCCTTTTTCATAGTTTTGTTGGCTCTTTTCAGGCATTTACTCTTTCCTCTGAACTTTAAAGTTATTGTATCCAATTTTAAAAAGGAACATAGGTTTTTAATATTTTTAGGCCTACTTCCTAATTTATTGGCACAATCTAGCTCAGTGAATGTAATCTAAATGTTTAATTAGGTTACATAAATATGCTGAAGTATATTCCTTTAGAACTTATACCAGTTTTCAATTTTTCTTTCAAAATACATGAAAGGGAACTTATACAGATGAAAATAAATTGTTTAGAAAAAAATTACATTTTAACTGGAACTTCCTTAACCAGATATGAAAAAGTTATTGTGCAATAGCATCTCTCTTGAGAAAAGCATACTCTGAGTTTCAGAACATCAGGAAACAGTTATAGTGCTTAATTTTTGGATCATAAACATATCAAAAATAATTTTTTTTTAAATTTCACACTAAAAATTAAATAACTAAAATAAACTTGTATGCTACAATCAGTATTTAATTATAAAAGTGATTATGTTAGTAAATTGCAAAAGGAAACTTCAAAGATTTTCCCTGGAATAGTTGGTAATGACATCACTGGAATGCAATCAGAAAAATCCAGATAATAGGAAAATATAGGGCAAACGCTCAGATACTTCAATAACCAAATTACCTTATTTGGACCATGATTGGATCAAACAAACAAAAAAAAACACTACACTAAACATTTGATAATACTAAGGAATTATTATTATTTTTCTTAGGTGTGATAACAGTATTGTGGTTACGTTTTTAAAAAGAGTTCTTATCGTGGAGATATGTATATGCATAACAGATTCACTTTGCTGTACACCTGAAACTAACACAACATTGTAAATCAACTATACCCTAATAAAAAATTTTTAAAAAATACAAATTTTACATAATCACTTAGAAAAAAGAGTTCTTATCTTTTAAACATATGTACTGAAATATTTACTAATAAAATTATAAAGTATTTTGTATTTGCTTCAAAATAATTTGGAATGGAGAGTGACAGCATAAACAGGATTGTCATGAGTTGATCATCGCCGAAACTGGAATCATTACTTTTATGTATGCTTGAAACTTTCCATAATAGAAAATTATAAAAAATATTTCCAGTTAAAGGAAATTTAGGATTGGTAATTTTAGAGAACGTGACTGGTTGAGTGCTAACAGAAAAGAGAGTGGTTTGGGCTGAATTAAAACCTAATAGGTCATTCAAAAGACATTATTCCAAAATGCTCATTTCAGGGAGAAATTTAATGCAAAGAAATGATATCATATGTTGCAAGATTTACCAAGGAAAAAAGAAAGTTCAAACTTTCAAGTAAAGGTAATCTCAAACAGTTTTACCTTGAGTTCCAGCCTCGTGGTATTTGCCTGGCACCGATAAGTGGCGAGAAGAAAGTTGTCATTTGACTAGGAAGAATTCAAAGTTGAGGAAAAGGATGAATCTATGTTTTTAACAATAACAACAGCACCAACAGTAATAATAATATTTATTTTTACTGAGCACCCATCATTTGGGTGGGACCATGCTATGAGCTTTATGCTTATTCCTACAAACAACCCTATGTGGTAAGTTTTAACAGATGAAGAAATTGAGGTTTGAAGGGTTAGGTAGATTTCCTAAATGCCAGTAATAACACTGGTATTCAAATTCGTATCTTTAAGACTCTAAAGCTCAGTGCTCTTTCCATATTAAATCTCTCCAATAACACTTTAAAATATTAATTGTTCTCCCAAAAATTTAACTGGCAGTGCAAACTCCTAATGTTTGTATTATAAAGGTAAAAACATCAATGTTCAGTGTTGAATGTATTTGATTTTCACACATACTTATAGACAACTGAGAAATATCTCATCTATGCATTCCCAGCAAAATTAGCATAGTGTCAGGTAGACTGTAGGCATTCAACACATTTGTTGAACAAAATTGGAGAGGTTACTTCAAGTATGATAACTTCTTAAAATTGAATAATAAACTACTAAAAACAGAAGAGTATATCTGTGTGCATGAATTGCAAAATCAGACAAAGCAACGTGAACTATTTGATATGAAATTTTCAGGCACTGCTATTTCCCTATTTTTAATAAATACTGAAGAAATAAAAAGAATGCTAATGTTAAAAAGAAAATTCAAATGTTTTAATTTCAAATCATTTAAACTCAGCAAACACAGAGGATCAGTCAACTTAAAAATAAATATACTTGTGTGTAATTAAAAACAAATGTTATATATTTAAGTATTTATGGATAAAATTATATATATTAATTAAAGGCGATAAAATGTCTGGAATTTGGTTTGGGATGGGGAGGGAGAAGGTAAAGAACATAAAACGAGACTGGCCATATGTTAAAGTTAGTGATGAGTACATGGAGGTTATTACAGTATTCTTTCTCCTTCTGTATATACTTGAAATCTCCATAAGATTTGTTTTTTAAGCCATCATTCTAGAAAATAGGTTTTAAATTAGTATGAAATACTCATTTCAAAGAATCCTGCAGTGATATAAACAGGTTAATCTTTCACTGTAACTTAGGAATTAAAGATCTGAAGTTCATACTAACTTGATTTTTTAAATCATCATAAAAATGTAGGTCTTAATCCTTTTATGTTTTATTCTCAAACAGGGATGACAAAGCACATATGATAAATAATACAACTGCCATAAAATCTCTTATCAAAAAAAAAAAAGCCTTACTCTGAAATTATTTTGAAAATTATTCCCTAATATAACTATCAACTTTGTTCTTTATCTACTCTTGTTATCCTTCCTTTTTTTTTTTTGTTGTTTTTTTTTTTTTGTTTTTTTTCGGTACGCGGGCCTCTCACTGTTGTGGTCTCTCCCGCTGCGGAGCACAGGCTCCAGACGCGCAGGCTAAGCGGCCATGGCTCACGGGCCCAGCCGCTCCGCGGCATGTGGGATCCTCCCAGACTGGGGCACGAACCCTTCCACCAGGGAAGCCCTATCCTTCCCTTTTTAATGCCAACTCCAGTCACCATTTCCTGCTCTGGCTGGCCTTCTCCAATGCAGCTGCTCCAGACCTTCTCTGAACCCTAACTTCTCTTCAGGAGCCACACCTAAGCTCTGAGACTGCTAGTCAGCCAGTACCATGCAGAAAGAAGTGATACAGTAAGCACGTCCAAAAGCTCTGATATGGTCTCATCCCAGGTACTTTGCACACAGTAAGTGTTCAATAAATGTCTGTTGAATGAAGGTTAAGCAAGAGTCAACAAGAAAAAGTGAGGAAAGACAGGCAGATGGAACAGATCATGTTTAAATGTAGGAATGTGTGAAGCTGTATAGCATTTTCAAGAAATTTTAAGAACTTCAGTTTGGCAGAAATCATGTGCATGGGAGGGAAGGTAGCAGCTGGTGAGAGATTAAGTTGGAGATGTAATCAAGAGCTGAATTACAGAAAGTTTTTTATGCTACAGTGAGGAATCTTGACCTACATGCAGCTCAGGAAATAGGGAATCTTTAAAAGGTTTTGAGAAAAGGAATGACACAGGGATGTTTGTCTTTTAGGAAGGCCTCTCTGGTGGCAGTGCACAGCATAGCCTGGAGGTGACAGGCAACACTGGAGGCACAGAAACTGGCAGACGAGGAGTTCAAGCAAAAGCATTATGAGGGCCTGGAAGATTAACAGAAGTGCAAATGAAGCAGAGTAGACGTAGAAGAGCAAGGAGGTAGAAATGACAAAAATTAGTGACTACAGCAGCACCCCCCCTTATCTGTGGTTTCACTTTTCAGGGTTTCAGTTACCCACGGTCGACTGTGGTCTGAAAATATTAAACAGAAAATTGCAGAAATAAGCAATTCATAAGTTTTAAATTGCACACCGTTCTGAGTAGTGTGATGAGAACCTGTGACATCCCATTCCATCCTGTCTGGGACATGAATCATCCCATATTCATGCTGTATATGCTACCCGCCCGTTAGCCACTTAGGAACCATCTCAGTTATCACATAGACCAACCTTCATGGTATTGCAGTGCTTGTGTCAAATAACCCATGTTTTACTTAATAACAGCTCCAAAGTGCAAAAATAGTGATGCTGAAAGAAACACCGTATCATACAGAGGTTCCGTACTATTCTGATTTCAGGCATCCATTGGGGATCTTGGAATGTATCTCCAGCAGAAAAAGAGGGAACTACTGTAACTGGATTTAACAGATCAGAGAGAGGAAGGAATTTAGGACAACACTCCAGTTTCTGGATTTTCTGAGGATAGGGAAAGAGAGTAGAAGCAGATTTTGAGGGAAGGGTTATGAAAGGAAATACAGAAGAAACATCAAACACTAGTAGCATTTACAGGCTTTATACAAAATGGCATAATGGAAATGAAAGCATTTGAAGAATTTTTTATATTTTTACTCACCTCAGAATCACAGCTGCTAAAGCTGACAACAGCAGAATTTTTATCCACATCTAGTAAATCTATTGGAACATCACTCTACAGTCAATATTAAAAGAAAAAAAAAGGTTTAGATGAAAAACTAAAAATTCTCACAACACATATTTTCTCTAAGGGTTCTCCTTAGCCCTAGTTTACGTTTGTCTCTAAATTTGACAGTATGAACTCTCTTAACTTGTATTTGATAATATGCACTTCTAGAAAATAAATATAATAAAGAATAAGAGTTATATTACAATGACCTATTTTTTTCTAATTTGGATTAATCAGATCACAGAATTTCATCTCTCATCACTCTCTTTAAAGTATACTCTTCCTACTTTTTTTTGTCAGTGCTAAAAATGTTACCATGGGCTGCAAATAATCATATGACTATTCTTGCTATATCAGTTCACTTTTATCATTTCTTACTTCACCTGTAACACAGAAAGGGGATAATTTTTGGTCTCCTCCAGAGAGGTAGCTTCTAGGACAATGCTGTTGCACTGTGTTCTGTGTGAATGGTGCTTCTGGAGTTGTTCAATGCAGTAGCCCTTGAGCTAGCATTACCTGAGAGACATTTCTGCCTCTAAGTTTTAATTAATAATCTGATCTCTCCCCCACATCTTTTAAAACTTTGTCTTCTTCCTCTTTATTCTTTTCTCATTTTCTGATGGGTTTTCCATCTTGCTTATTTTCCATTCATCCTACTATCATCCTTTTCCACTCCCTGAATATCTTCCAATTTAAAGAAAAAATAATTGTTAGGCACCCATACTCCAATGTAAAATAAAAATTTAAAAAAACTAATAATAAAAAAAAGAAAAAAGAATTAAATACATTGATAAATGGAGTTATACATTATTATCCCTAAGTTTCACCTTTTGAGATTATCTACCTAGAAACTGATGGTTAATGAGCAGGCTGTATTATTTTAGTAGTTGGAGCTTAAAAAAGGTTCTAATAAGGATATAAAATACTGGAGTTTTCTAAGTCACATCTCTGTTAAGATTCTCCTAAAGGCTAACCAGAGAACAAATCTTTAATGTCCTTTCTAGGTCTTCCTGAAACTTAAGTCCATTGGTCTTTTGTTTAATATGTACGGGATAAATAAAAAATAAAGACATAATTTAAATAATCTATGAGCCAACTGATTAGCTAATGCAAGATTAAGATAAACATTTAAAATCACCGTTTAAAAGTGTTCAATAATAATTAGTGCATATGACTTGTTTGCAAAATAGATCCAGCCATAAAACAAAGAAATTAGACATTTTGCTTACTTGTATTAAGACATTATCTATCGCCGTCTGAACCTCTAAGATAAGGCTGTAGCTGGCATCATCTTTATTTAATGTAAACTTGTCATTTACACTAAATGAAGGTACTGCTGATTTTGCTTTGCTTGATTGAGAAGACTGTTGATATTTCTCTCTTTCCTGTAGTACCTTATATTGCAGATGTTCCAACTCACTTCTAGAGGAAAATATATACAAATTTGTCACCTATAAGTATAAACATTTGAGATCCTTAGAATATTTACAAAAGTCTGAGACATTTACTGCTGCAAAATGCATTTTTATTGGTTGAGTTAGAACTATAACACTAATAGGAACAAAATTTTTACTTCTGTGACTGACCTAATGGTTCCACATTATTTAACTCTGATCTAAAAATTAAAACATCTACTCAGCCCCACACCAGCAATATTAATAAGGCATTGTAAGAATCAAGGCAGGCTGCAAATAATCAATCCTAATACATGAATCTGGTTACAGTCACATATAGCACTAATCAGAAAAGAAACTGATTGTTCTGGGGTAGAGGAACATATTAGATTTAATAAGAAGACACAGAACGTGTGAAATCAGTAAACATGTACCTTTCAGTAAGACATTAGGGGCAAAAGACAAAATAAGAAGGCTGCTGAGTATGAATATATTGGAGACCACAAGGATAATCACGAGCCAGAGGTACAGCTGAAGTTCTACCAAGTGCTGGAGATTGAACTGTGCAGGCATTGCTTAGAGCTGCTCCAGTTAAAGGGAAAGGAAATGAAGTAAATAGTAACTAGGGTAGAACAACATGAGGTTTAGCTACTAGCCCCAATTGAGGGGGAAAAGTCTGGGAAGGCGCTTGGAAGGGATTTGTGCACTAAACAAAAGAAAAGATTCATTCGCCCAAGAAATATTTACTGAGTGACTCTATGTACTTAGGATCCGGGTGCTGAATGAACAAAATAGACATAAGCTTCTCGTGAACGTACATTCCAGTGGAATCAGGAGGGGGCTGACTTGGTTATAAATATGAGGTATTGTACTGAGGACATGAGATAGTAGTGCATTAACTCTCCTTGGTGTCCTTGCTGCATGAACATTAGAGCTTTCTCTCTTGGTGACTTTGGTGAACTGGTTTGTGGTGAACTGGTGGTGTGGCTTTAGTGAACTAGTACTTGTGGCATTTGGTTGCCTCAAAAACTTCTGTAGCCATCAACTACCACCAAAAAAGGATCAGCCCTCACTCCTGAGGGCTGAGGGCTGAAGGGCTAGGGTAAGGAGAATAGTCATTAAAAGTTTCAGCGACTCCCACTTCTTCACTGTATGCAGCAATTTTCCTTGAGGCCATTTTCACAGGACTTGTCAAATTGAACAGGTCATGAAAGCAATCCCTGTGTCTAAGAGAGTCAACATTACTCATTTCCAGTAAGAAAACTTATAAACCAAAGTTACAGACTCAGAAGGGTCCACAAGAGCAGTAAACATGAGAATTAATGAGGAACAGAGCCATCTGTGTTGGTTTCTTTCTAATGTCTATGAAAACAAACAAACAAAAAAAACACTGTAACTGTTTATAATAAATGAATGAAAAAATACAATTCTTGAGCTAAGAAAAAAACAACATAGAATAAAACATATAAAAAGTGTATTTCTAACTCCAAAATATTAATCAGCACTTACTGCTAATTTTCTCAAACTGATAAGCTTTTATTTAAAAAGGTCATAAACTAATTAAATGTATAATTCCTTCCAATAAAATATACTGCATTTATAAATAAGAAAAAAACAACAATCACACACTTTATGAATTGAAAAAAAAAAAGAAGCAAACAAAAATCCAAAATTACCGTAACGAAGAAATTTTATTCTGCATCTCCTGATTAATTTTTAGTTCTTCTCCCGGTCCACTTTCCTTATGAATAGGCTCTGTTGTCAGACCTGTAACCCAGCCTGCAGAGATGAATTACAATCGTGCACCATTAAGTGCTGCTAGTGTTAAAAGAAACCCAAGATACATGCCCCTGTGTCCACCAACATCAACCTCACTTAGTCTTGGACTTATTCCTTTTCAAACAACAAGACAAAACAAAACGCAAAAGAAATCAAGCTAGAAGATATTCAAACCATAAAGAAATTACTTTGGATACCATTTTTGTTTTGCCTGAAATACTGTAATACTACGATTAAGGAAATCTTTCGCTTCTCAATTTAAAGTTTTAGTTTTCAAGTATGGAATAAGTCAACACATTCTAGGCAAATGCCAAAAACAGCTGATGAATAAAAGTTGTCTTTCAAAAATTATTTTCATGGCAAGTTAAACTCTCATATAACTATTGTGAGAATACAAAAATGACCTACTCAAAAGCAAGCAAGTTTTATAAGAAATGTACACAGTAACAAAACAAACTAAATTTCAGTAAATATTCTTTTTAAACCAAAGGATATCATTTAATTTTCAAAGATGCTAGAGATATACTAAGTACTTTTAAAAAGTATTATTCAAATATTAACTGTTTTATAAATCAATACACCTACTCCTTCCTTTCTTATTTTTTAACCATTAGAGCTTTTAATGCTGTAGGTAAGAGTGACTTACTAATAAACATTTTAAAAAGCAATCATCAAAAGCAATTTATTAAATTTATATTTTTTTATTATTGATTCTTTCTTCAACTAGCTATTACCATTTACCTTACCTGAATATGTGGATACCACGATTTCATCATAGCCATCTTTCCCTACACAACCACCCTGGATAGATGTGACACTCTCAGACAACGTCTAAAATAAATTTAAGATCAAGCACGTCATTAATAAAATTTCACAGATATGTGAAATAATAAGCCACAAAACTTATTTTGCTGTCTCCCAACATTCAACATATATTTATTGAATACTTATTATGTGTAGACACTGAGATTGGAAAGGTGAAAATCCTACACAAATGGCTGAAAATTCCAGTGCTTTTTAATTTGGGGAAAGAAGATTGAAAATGATTCATATATTTGTGTGTACCACTCAGCTACAGTAATCATCTAATGAGCAAAATCATTTATTTATATAAAGAAATAAGTTTTTTTAAAAAAATGACATAAGCGGGAATTCCCTGGCAGTCCAGTGGTTAGGACTCCATGCTTCCACTGCAGGGAGCCTGGGTTCCATCCCTTGTCAGGAAACTAGGATCCTACAAGCCACGTGGCCAAAAAAAAAAAAAAAAAAAAAAATTACATAAGCAAAACTCTCAATACATTTAGTTTATTACCTGAATTCCACAGACCACCTCTCATGTGTTTTCTCCAAATAGTTTTTTAGAAGAATAAAGAAGACGCTAGCTTACATGGGAACTTTAGACAACTTGCTACTATGGAGACCAAGTTTTTCAGATGCTTCAGGGTTTATATCTCTTTTAAGCAATACTTCCCAAACTTGCCTGACAATAATCATTTGGGTGAGTCAACTAGGAATCTGTATTTTTAACAAGCACTCTAGGTCAGTGGCTTTCAAGCGATTTGGAAAGCAAGCAATAAGTTTCATATTGCAATCTGGTATAATTCACACATGAACATACACAACAACAGACATAACTTAAAAGGTTTGTGTTGCACTCTGATATATTCTAATCTATTCTCTTTCATTTAAAAAAAAATGTGTTGGCAACCCATTAATGAGTTTGACCAGTAGCTCTGCCAGGTAATTATTATCAAGCAAGGCCCAGAACCATTGTCCTAAAGGGGAAGGTACAGGGAATGGACACCAGCATTAAAAATGCTAGTTCTCTTCATCCTCCCTGTAAGAGGCAAACCTCTGAGCTATTCTGCAAATCAGGCTGTCTTAGCTGTTCCTGAGCTAATTACCTGAGAGATTCAAGTGACAAAGGTTTGACTATACATTTGCATGAAGTTAGGTTCATAGGTGCATTTTTTTTCTTTTTTTTTTTGGCCACACTGCACATTTTGCAGGAATCTTAGCTCCCCGATCAGGGATGGAACCTGTGCGCACTGCAAGGGAAGTGCAGAGTCCTAACCACTGGACCACCAGGGAATTCCCCAACAAGTGCATTTTTAACAAGTGTCCCAGTGGATTTCATATACACTAGAATTCTTCAAACTTTTTTGTTCATGTTCTCGCTAAAGTTAATTCTGAAAAAACAAACAAAACTGCATCCATCCCTGTGTACATTTTTAAACTGACTTTCAGATTTTCATCACCACTTTAAATAGTTACAAAGAATGTAATATCTGGAAGTTTTAGAGATTATAATTTTAAAATAAAACTGTCACATAATCACACTCCAATCATACCCAATGAATCTAAATATCAAGACAAATTTATACACACAATTGACTTAAAAATGAAAAAAACAAATCGTTCTTTCACAGCTGGAAATTTTACATTGTTCCCTAAACTTCTATTTTCACTCCACTTCCCCCACATATATTTATCTTAATGTAATGTACTCATATGCTTGAAATTCTTTTATACTTCTCTGCAACCAAGAAAAAAGAAATAGAATTTTTTTATCTTCTGTGATTAAAAACTCTAAGAATTAGAAATTTCTATTGTCTAATTATTAGTATTTCACAATTGATCGACAAATATATGTTTTATATTTTTAACTAATAACTAACCACTAAAACAAAATTCTACAGGAAATGTATCTCATGAGACAATAGGACAGTTTTTCCTTCTAAATTATTCATGTACCACAATGAGTATTAATTATATATTGGTAGAATGAGACTGAGTTCAACATCAGTCCTATTCTTTCTTCATTTTCATAGATAGAAGCACTAATCGAGCTTAGTGCCATAAAGATATTGATGAGACTAAAAGAAATTTTGTTGTAAAAAGTTCACTCTATTGTTTAAATATCTTCCAAGTTACATACCTAAAATCATCTGATCTACCACTGAAAATGTTTAATGGTGTATCATCTGACACCTTGATTAGGTCCTCCTTCTATATATTGAAAGCAAAACACTGGAAACCAGCTGACTACAGAAGAATGTTTTACTGAGTCAAGAGTCACACACATTCTCACTTTCTGAGTGGTTTATTGAGTGACTATTAATTATAACTTACTCTTTCACTCACTTAGAAGTACCTTATTTAACCTAATGTACTCAGAAAAAGTTATAAAAATTAAAAAACTGTTAATTTCTACATTTTTTTTGTCAATACAACATTTTAATGAAATTCATTTATCTTATGTACTTCAAGTACCTTTTTATAAAAGTCTTGGAGTTGTAGATTTAGGTAATTCAACTTACACCTTAAAAAAAACAGTCATAGAACCATAACACAGGAGATCATAGACAACATAGTATAGACATGCTTTATGTAAGTAACAACATGGAATGCCAATTAGGGGAACTCACAAGAAAAGACCTTGGTCACTGCTCAAAATATTGGTGAATAAATATATATTTATAAGTTTAAATTAAAATGTGATGTTTAAGGTATGTACATATTGTCTTTTTATGATCTGCTCCTTAACTCTTTTGATTAACCATCAGTCCAGACTATGTCAGATAAGAGGACTTCTCCTGATTAGGAAAACAATAAAGAGAGTGACATCATGAATCAAGATGAGGCAGCATATTCGCAGCCTTAACACAACATGGAAGCAGTACCTCTATCATCAGACAAACAGAAGAAAGATTGGGAAGACAGGAATTCTTAGTGCCACACCTGGCAGAGGGGAGACATGCTATGTCATTACTGGGGTTTGGAATAGAAGTCAAAGAGGAAACTTGGGGTCTAAATAGGAAAGTTTCTCAGGGGTTGATGATAAAAAAATGGGAGATCACCAACACAGGATTATTATGTACTTTTAAGCCTAAACTATTATTTGCATCATTAGCAAGGTAACTTTGTGCACCAAAGAAAGATGAACAAGTACAAAATAAATCCAGAAAATAAGTTGTATAATGTTTTTATCCCCATATTACCTAAATAATAATACACTTTATGTACCAAAACATCTGTTATTTACTGATATGCAATTAAAGTAGGTACTGGGAGAAATTTACCACTATTAGAGAAATTAGACAAAGAAAGAAAAGTTCATACTGAGTTGTGGTTTTTTGTTGCTGCCGTTAAACAGCCTCAATACATCATGCATGAGGCAGGATGGGGAAACCCTGGACAGGAGAACACCACTTTATGAAAATGAAAGATTCAGTTTATGCCAGAATGCTTCTCCATGTGACTCTGCACCTTGGGATAAACAAGCTTAATTACACTTAAAATTTGTGAACTAAAAATTACTCTTATCTAGTATTTCTTCTCATACTGTGGATCTTGGGTGGCGAGAAGTGAAATTGCTACTTTTCCCTCTCAGCTTAAGGATATTTTTGATATTGTCTTAACAATACGAAGTTTATTCCTAAAACCTGATCACTTTAAAACAACACAATCTCATTTATGCTACCTAAACATATAAATGTTACTCCTGTAATCTATTATGCATCATAGAAACTAAGGTAATACATATAATAATTTGCATATACAGTATTTAGAAATCAAATAAAAAAGTAATTTATTGTTCAGCTTGAGGGCAATAGTCATTTATTCAAACATAAGAGTAGTCTAGAGAAGATTTTGATAATGTCAAAGCAGAGATATTTTAAGCCAAACACAAGATTTTAATATATTTCATTTAATAAAACACAAAGTCAGTCATCTCTATAATTGTTTCATGAATAATAAGCATATATAGTCCTTTTAAAAGTGAACTTACCTGATCAAATCGTAGAACAGGCTCATTTGCATTATCAAAACTATACACTTCCACCATTCCATCATCTCTTCCAACAAGTAAATCTTTAACCCCATCACCCACAATGTCAAAGCTGTCAATACACAAAATACCTTTAAAAAAGGTAAATGATAAGTTATCAATAAAATTGATATTATAGTAAAAAATATACCAAGTATGAATGAAAAAAAATATATATCAAATCAGTGTAGGAAAAAAAAACTAGGGTAAATTAAAACAACTATAGGGCTTCCCTGGTGGCGCGGTGGTTAAGAATCCGCCTGCTGAAGCAGGAGACACGGGTTTGAGCCCTGGGCCAGGAAGATCCCATGTGCCGCGGAGCAACTAAGCCCAGGCGCCACAACTACTGAGCCTCTGCTCTAGAGCCCGCAAGCCACAACTACTGAGCCCATGTGCCACAACTACTGAAGCCCACACGCCTAGAGCCCGTGCTCTACAACAAGAGAAGCCACAACGAGAAGCCCACGCACCGCAACAAAGAGTAGCCTCCGCTCGCCGCAACTAGAGAAAGCCTGAGCGCAGCAACAAAGACCCAACACGGGCAAATATAAAAAAACAAATAAATAAATAAAAATTTAAAAAAACCAAACCAAAACAACTATAACAATAAATTCCCAATTGAACTCCATGCCTCTAATTTTGACCTGCTTCCCTACAAACCCACTCTCCACGGAGTGTTTTTGTTTTAGTTTGGTAAATTAGATCACATCATACCCCCACTTACAATTTTCCAATGACTCCTCACTACAGTTAGATTAAAATTCAAACCCCTTTACCAAGGCTCGTGAGGACCTACGTGAGTTGGCCTTATTCTACCTCTGTGACTTCATCTCATGCCATACGAACGTATTTAGCCACACTGGTCTTCCTTCTTCTCCTCAAATGAATCGAGTTTACCTCTGCCTCAAGTCCTCTGCCTTTATTTTTTCCTCTTCCTGGACATTCTTTTCCCCTAAATCTTATACATTGTTAACACGTTTTCTTGTCAATTAGATCTCATGCTGTACTTATAAACAGCCATCCAAACCTACCAAGTCAGATATAAATTCCCCTTAGAAAGGTGTAAATTCCTTAGAAAAAAGGAATATTCCCTGACCCGACTGCACTTCTTTGCCTCATACCAAGTACTCCCAAATTCCAATTAATTCCCTACAGCAAAAAACGAAAAATGGATTTCAGCATAGGTTAATGTTATAGATAGACATTAGTGCATAAAAGCCTATCCACCTCAATTTACTATTAGCATATCTTACTTTAAAAATTATGGCAAAAGAATGATAGACCTGCTAAATAAACAGAGAGTAAATAAACCTGAGGCGGCTCTGTAAATTGCTAAGTCTGCTATACATTATGAATAAATAAAATAGAATGAACTATATAACGTAGGTTGACCTATTTATCTATCTATCTATCGAACCCACACCCTTGTAAGTGAAAGCACAGAGTCCTAACCATTGAATCACCAGGAAATTCCCAGTATATTTTATTTAAAAATCACTGAAATTCAGAATCTGAATTACATCAAAAACATACCTCCCGACCTCCCTGGTGGTGCAGTGGTTAAGAATCCGCCTGCCAATGCAGGGGATACGGGTTTGAGCCCTGGTCCAGGAAGATGCCACATGCCACAGAGCAACTAAGCCAATGTGTCACAACTACTAAGCCTGTGCTCTAGAGCCCATGAACCACTACTACTGAGCCCACGTGCCACAACTACTGAAGCGCGTGCACCTAGAGACCGTGCTCCGCAACAAGAGAAGCCACCACAATGAGAAGCCCGCACACCGCAACAAAGAATAGCCCCCGCTCGCCACAACTAGAGAAAGCCCACGCGCAGCAATGAAGACCCAACACAGCCATAAATAAATAAATAAATAAATAAAAAATACCTCCCCTCTTTTTCTCATTTCGAATTTCCCACTTGTGTATTGGTTTGGATGTAGTGATCTGAATAAGCCCAAGTTTTCCATCTGACGTTCCAAACAAAAGGTCTTCTCCAGAGTCACCTAGTTATATGTAAAGTCAACATATTATATTTACCCTACAACTCACACTATTTCTTTAAAATTGAAATATTTTCAAATGTATTGTCTTTCATGTAAAAATCTCATTTAAAATATTAAATGAGAAGACAGATTTTAATTAATTTACTTAATTTAGAAGGATGGTTATACATTCACAGAATGTATAACCATAAGAGATAAGACCTTTCCTCATCAACTAATTTTAAGATGAGGAAACTAAAAAATTAAAGTTCAATAACACATTACTGTTAACAACTGGCAAGTTAGAAGACAATTGGCTCTATTCCAGTTCATGTTCTTCCTACAATTTCCCATTTTCACTTAATATATAGTTAAATGATTAAAAACCCTGAAATATCTAAACTTAAATAACGTAACTCACTCCCTTATTTGATTTTCAAAAATAAAGCCCTGATTACCGCCATTTCCATTGTGTAGGGCTAAAACAGTAGGTGGGCCAGGAACTTCAATTTCATACATCACATCAGATCCCTGAAGGAGAACAAGTATTTTAAAACTAAAACAGAAGACAAATTTAAAATAATATAGGTATTCATAAATAATATCAATATTCATATAAAGAACCCTGGAATAAAACTACTGAAAAAAACTAGATTGTGAATATTAACTTCTATTTGTTAGCAATTCTGCACATGTCGACTCATTTTATAATAAAAATATACATATATAAAATATAAAGAGTGAGGAAATAAATATTTCAAATATTCTCCACTTTGTATACTTTTCACTTTAGGTACTTTGTTTGCCTGAAAACTTGACACTGGTAAATTTCCCTATCAAAACTTTCCATGAACAAGTTGTTTCTTCTGTCCTCTCTAACTCAAGGGCTTTAACTTAGAGCACATTCAAACAGACTCAGAAAACTCTGGCCTTGCCGTTGGGTATTTTGGAAACCCACTCTAGTAAGAGGCAGAATGACCTGCTTTTTAGATAAGAAAACAGTTAAATCCTTTTATTTGTCTTTTTTTCAATTTTGTCACTTATAATGCACAGTATTTGCATAGTATTTGTGAATAGTATTTGTGAAGCTGTTAAAGAATGAGGTAGAAGTATTAAATTCACATAGAAAAAATATGACAAATCACTCAATGAAAAAACATTGGCAAAATTACAGTAAATCTGGTATACCATTATTGTTTAAAATTTTTAAATATGTATAGAATATATAAGAGCCATATGCTTTATATTTTATTTAGAAAAACATTAAAAATTCACAGATATCTACATATAACTATATAAACACAAAAGAATACACACAAAACTGTTTTTTTTTAAAAGGCTACCTTTGGGGTAACAGATTGCCTACAAAGGCAGACAGAGAGTAGGGGAAAAGTGTGCAGGGCAGAGGAAAGACTTTTTACTTTGCACAAATACTTAGTGATTTTTTTTTTTTACAATTAGCATATGGATCTCTTGTTAAACAAAGCAGAATCCTAGAATTCAGCCAGATCAATTTCTAAATGGGTGTGAGCCAACTTGTTAAAAGCCTTATTCAAACAACTCATATTTGAGCATAGGCTAGGGGAGAAATTAATCGTTCACCCCCCTAGAGTGAACCTTGAACATTACTTTAATTCTCCATAGAGAAAAAAAAAAAAAAGAACTTCATAGAACCACTTGATTTCTTCTATAAAAGGGATGGTGCCGAGACAAGCCATCTAACTATGAAATTCCAAAGAGTGAGATAGCCTTTGGTGGCACAGAATAAACAGCTAGACTTTTTGTTCAATTGCACTATCATCCTAAATTTTGATCCAATTAATCCACTTGTTATATGTTATTTACATCTAAACTTTGTTTTATGGGTGTATGTGTGTGTGTGTGTGTGTGAGAGAGAGAGAGAGAGAGAGAGAGAGAGAAGGAGAGAGAGGGTATGTCTATTTTATTGAAAGTCACTTTCGGAAGTCCCTGCTGGTCCAGTGGTTAGGACTCAGTGCTTTCACTGCTAAGGGTCTGGGTTCAATCCCTGGTCTGGGAACTAAGATCCTGCAAGCCGTGTGGTGCGGCCAAAAAAAAAAAAAAGTCACTTTCAAGAAGACAGTTGTAATTAGTACTACTAATAAGAATGGCCTTAAGTAGTTGTTTTAGCCAATCATGGTTTTTAATAGAAATATAAAGATAGTAGATGCTTTTTCAAATATTTATTGAGTGCTTATTCTGTTCAACATACTGTCATAAATGCTGGGTAAATTCAAATGATACAACCCTGATCTCAACTCTCTCCTGTTAAAGCCTAACACCCTCTCCCCAACCCAATTTCCTCCTTTAATTTGATTTTTTGGGAGAGGGGAGAGTGATAGAAGAAATAAAAAAAAAACGGGGCGGGGGGGGCTTCCCTGGTGGTGCAGTGGTTGAGAGCCCGCCTGCCGATGCAGGGGACACGGGTTCATGCCCCGGTCTAGGAAGATCCCACATGCCACAGAGCGGCTAGGCCCGTGAGCCATGGCTGCTGAGCCTGTGTGTCCGGAGCCTGTGCTCCGCAACGGGAGAGGCCACAACAGTGAGAGGTGAGAGGCCCACGTACAGCGAAAAAAAAAAAAAAAAAAAAAGGAAAAGCTAGGAAGGGTTCCCTATAGCAAAGGCATTAGATTCTTATTGTACTAACTCACATATTATGTGTGGGGGGAAAAGTGTCCTTTCTTCCATATATGCCTCTCTAAAAACTTGTCAAAGATTTCTACACATTCACCTCAAGGAAAAAAAATAAAAGTTTGTTAATTAAAATATTAAAAAAATTTTTCAAGATATAATTTTAAGATATTTAAAGTGGTAGTAGTCACTAAAGTAATTTATCTCAAGTATACACTGTTCAGCAATATTTTTTTACCTAAATTATGAAAAACTATAAAAATGCAAATAACAGCAACCTGTAAAACTCTGAGTACTCTGTCCTGGCAGGCCAACACCGGTACATCACGAAGTACTCTTTCCACTGGAAGGCAGATGACGTCATTGATTTTGTCTCCAGAAAGGTAATAATGTTGGTCTTTGCAGTCACAATAATGGTTATAGATATAACTTGCACTGAGAAAAAGGTCTGAGCCAGATATGTGCCTGAGAATATTAAAAGTAATTTAAGATTCAGGAAGCTCCTGAATAATTTTCAGAGATGAAAATAAAAGTTTATTTATATACAGTTTACTATCATTTTATCACAGACTCAGAGGACACTTTTGGTTTGTTTTCGTTCCCCCCACTTAATTTCTAGCCTTCTGGTAAAGCATTGATTTTGAAAGCTGAAAATGAGGTTCTACAGGCCTCAGGCGTCTCAAAAATTGAGCTCAGTAAAACTGAAAACAAAGACAAGATACTGGTAATATTCATTGTCTATATCTGAAAACAATTACTATATCAAAAAGTAACTTTTTTGAATGTGTAATATGTGCCAAGCACTGTCCTAAGTGACACATGTATTAGCTCAATCCTCATAACTTTATAAACTAGGGACCATTATTATCCCTTTTTAAGGAGAATAATAAAATGTTAAGTAACTTGCATAAAGGCACGGAACTAGTAGACAGTAGACTGGATTGCAACTCAGCTTTTAACTCTACAGTTAGCTTTCTTACTACCACATTGAATAGAATAAGGCTATTTGAACTGAATCTACTTGAAACTAAATAACAAACAGTGGAAAAAATGACTTCACTAGAATTTTAACTTGAAAAAAGAAATAATAACTTCATTTCAAATTATATTTAACAAAATTTAGATAAATAATCTCAACTATGTTATAATTCTTATAATGAATCAAGTTTCCACTAGGGAGCTAAAATTTTTGACAAAAATTATATACTAGTATATTATCTTCACTTCTAGATAGCTATCACCATGTGATCATAAAGAGGGCATTTATTTGACGGTTTCACCTATTTTTCCACTTCTCCTCTAAGGTCTATTTAAAAAATTTTTGATACTAAAATTATTCCTTATCCTATAATGATCCTCATTGATTTTCTCTTCTTCAATTATTGTTCAAATGGCTTCACTTTGTGGCTCTGCATATGATTTCAGAAGTTCTCTTAATAGAGGGCAGACAGCAGAAGCAAGAAGAACTACAATTCCACACCCTGTGGAAGGAAAACCTCATACATAGAAAGATAGACAAAATGAAAAGGCAGAGGACTTTGTACCAGATGAAGGAACAAGAAAAACCCCAGAAAAACAACTAAATGGAGTGGAGATAGGCAACCTTCCAGAAAAAGAATTCAGAAAAATGATAGTGAAGATGATCCAGGACCTCAGAAAAAGAATGGAGGCAAAGATCGAGAAGATGTAAGAAATGTTGAACAAAAACCTAGAAGGATTAAAGAACAAACAAACAGAGATGAACAATAAAACAACTGAAATGAAAAATACACTAGAAGGAATCAATAGCAGAATAACTGAGGCAGAAGAACAGATAAGGGACCTGGAAGACAGAATGGTGGAATTCACTGCTGTAGAACAGAATAAAGAAAAAAGAATGAAAAGAAATGAAGAGAGCCTAAGAGACCTCTGGGACAACATTAGACGTAACAACATTCGCATTATATGGGTCTCAGAAGGAGAAGAGAGAGAGAAAGGACCAGAGAAAATATTTGAAAAGATTATAGTCGAAAACTTCCCTAACATGGGAAAGGAAATAGCCACCCAATTCCAGGAAGCGCAGAGAGTCCCAGGCAGGATAAACCCAAGGAGAAACATGCTGAGACACATAGTAATCAAATTGGCAAAAACTAAAGACAAAGAAAAATTATTGAAAGCAACAAGGGAAAAATGACAAATAACATACAAGGGACTCCCATAAGGTTAACAGCTGATTTCTCAGCAGAAACTCTACAGGCCAGAATGGAGTGGCACAATATATTTAAAGTGATGAAAGGGAAGAACCTACAGTCCAGATTACTCTACTCGGCAAGGATCTCATTCAGATTCAATGGAGAAATCAAAAGCTTTACAGACAAGCAAAAGCTAAGAGAATTCAGAACCACCAAACCAGCTCTACAACAAATGCTAAAAGAACTTCTCTAAGTGGGAAACACATGACAAGAAAAGGACCTACAAAAACAAACCCATGACAATTAAGAAAATGGTATTAGGAACATACATATCGATAATTACCTTAAACGTGAGCGGATTAAATGCTGCAACCAAAACACACAGGCTTGCTGAATGGAGACAAAAACAAGACCCATATATGCTGCCTACAAGAGACCCACTTCAGACCTAGGAACACATACAGACAATGTGAGTGGATGGAAAAAGATATTGCATGCAAATGGAAATCAAAAGAAAGCTGGAGTAGCAATTTTCATATCAGATAAAATAGACTTTAAAATAAAGAATGTTACAAGAGAAAAGGAAGGACACTACATAATGATCAAGGGATCAATCCAAGAAGATATAACAATTATAAATATATATGCACCCAACATAGGAGCATCTCAATAGATAAGGCAACTGTTAACATCTATAAGAGAGAAAATCGACAGTAACACAATTATAGTGGGGGACTTTAACACCTCACTTACACCAATGGACAGATCATCCAGACAGAAAATTAATAAGGAAATACAAGCTTTAACTGACACAATAGACTAGATATATTTAATTGATTTTTATAGGACATTCTATCCAAAAACAGCAGATTACACTTTCTTCTCAAGTGCACACAGAACATTCTCCAGGATAGATCACATCATGGGTCACAAATCAAGCCTCGGTGAATTTAAGAAAATTGAAATCATAACAAGCATCTTTTCCGACCACAATGCTATGAGACTAGAAGTCAATTACAGGGAAAAAAATGTAAAAAACACAAACACATGGAGGCTAAACAATACACTATTTAATAACCAAGAGATCACTGAAGAAATCAAAGAAAAACTCAAAAAATACCTAGAGACAAATGACAATGAAACACGACAATTCAAAACCTATGGGATGCAGCAAAAGCAATTCTAAGAGGGAAGTTTATAGCTATACAAGCCTACCTCAAGAAACAAGAAAAATCTCAAATAAACAATCTAACCTTACACCTAAAGGAACTAGAGAAAGAAGAACAAATAAAACCCAAAGTTAGTGGAAGGAAAGAAATCACAAAGATCAGAGCAGAAATAAATGAAATAGAAACAAAGAAAACAATGGCAAAGATCAATAAAACTAAAAGCTGGTTCTTTGAGAAGATAAACAAAACTGATAAACCTTTAGCCAGACTCATCAAGATAAAGAGGGAGAGGGCTCAAATCAATAAAATTAGAAATGAAAAAGGAGAAGTTACAATGGACACCACAGAAATACAAAGCATCATAAGAGACTACTACAAGCAACTATATGCCAATAAAATGGAAAACCTGGAAGAAATGGACAAATCCTTAGAAAGGTACAACTTTCCAAGACTGAACCAGGAAGAAATAGAAAATATGAACAGAACAATTACAAGTAATGAAATTGAAACTGTGATTAAAAATATTCCAACAAACAAAAGTCCACGACCAGATGTCTTCAGAGGTGAATTCTATCAAACATTTAGAGAAGAGCTAACACCCATCCTTCTCAAACTCTTCCAAAAAATTGCAGAGGAAGGAACACTCTCAAATTCATTCTATGAGGCCACCATCACCCTGATACCAAAACCAGACAAAGATACTAAAAAAAAGAAAATTACAGACCAATATCACTGATGAATACAGTGCAAAAATCGTCAACAAAATACTATCAAACAGAATCCAACAACACATTAAAAGGATCATACACCATGATCAAGTGGAATTTATCCCAGGGATGCAAGGATTCTTCAATATATGCAAATCAATCAATGTGATACACACTAACAAACTGAAGAAGAAAAACCATATGATCGTCTCAATAGATGCAGAAAAAGCTTTTGACAAAATTCAACACCGATTTATGATAAAAACTCTCCAGAAAGTGGACAAAGAAGGAACCTACTTCAACATAATAAAGGCCATATATAACAAACCCACAGCCAATATCATTCTCAATGGTGAAAAACTGAAATCATTTCCTCTAAGATCAGGAACAAGACAAGGATGTCCACTCTTGCCACTATTATTCAACACAGTTTTGGCAGTCGTAGTCACGGCAATCAGGGAAGAAAAAGAAATAAAAGGAATACAAATAGGAAAAGAAGTAAAACTGTCACTGTTTGCAGATGACATGATACTATACATACAGAATCCTAAAGATGCCACCAGAAAACTACTAGAGCTAATCAATGAATTTGGTAAAGTTGCAGGATACAAAATTGATGCACACAAATCTCTTGCATTCCTATACACTAACAATGAAAGATCAGAAAGAGAAATTAAGGAAACAATCCCATTCACCACTGCAACAAAAAGAATAAAATACCTAGGAATAAACCTGCCTAAGGAGGTAAAAGACCTGTATGCAGAAAAGTATAAGACACTGATGAAAGAAATGAAAGATGCTACAAACAAATGGAGAGATATACCATGTTCATGGATTGGAAGAATCAATATTGTGAAAATGACTATACTAACCAAAGCAATCTACACATTCAATGCAATCACTATCAAATTACCAATGGCATTTTTTACAGAAATAGAACAAAAAATCTTAAAATTTGTATGGAGACACAAAAGACCCCGAATAGCCAAAGCAGTTCTGAGGGAAAAAAATGGAGCTGGAGGAACCAGACTCCCTGACTTCGGACTATACTACAAAGCTACAGTAATCAAGACAATGTGGTACTGGCACAGAAACAGAAATATAGATCAATGGAACAGGAGAGAAAGCCCAGAGATAAACCCACACACCTATGGTCAACTAATCTATGACAAAGGAGGCAAGGATATACAATGGAGAAAAGACAGTCTCTTCAATAAGTGGTGCTGGGAAAAGTGGACAGCTACATGTAAAAGAATGAAATTAGAACACTCCCTAACACCATACACAAAAATAAACTCAAAATGGATTAGAGACCTAAATGTAAGACCGGATGCTATAAAACTCTTAGAGGAAAACATAAGAACACTCTTTGACATAAATCCCAGCAAGATCTTTTTTGATCCACCTCCTAGAGTAATGGAAATAAAAATGAAAACAAACAAATGGGACCTAATGAAACTTAAAAGCTTTTGCAAAGCAAAGGAAACTACAAACAAGACAAAAAGACAACCCTCAGAATGGGATAAAATATTTGCAAACGAATCAACAGACAAAGGATTAATCTCTAAAATACGTAAACAGCTCATGCAGCTCAATATTAAAAGAACAAACAACCCAATCCAAAAATGGGCAGAAGACCTAAATAAACATTTCTCCAAAGAAGACATACAGATTGCCAAAAAACACATGAAACGATGCTCAACATCACTAATTATGAGAGAAATGCAAATCAAAACTACAATGAGGTATCACCTCACACCAGTTAGAATGGGCATCATCAGAAAATCTACAAACAACAAATGTTGGAGAGGGTGTGGAGAAAAGGGAACCCTATTGCACTGTTGGTGGGAATGTAAATTGATACAGCCACTACGAAGCACAGTATGAAGGTTCCTTAAAAAACTAAAAATAGAATTACCATATGACCCAGCAATCGCATTACTGGGTATATACCCAGAGAAAACCATAATTCAAAGAGACGCACGCACCCCAATGTTCATTGCAGCACTATTTACAATAGCCAGGTCATGGAAGCAACCTAAATGCCCATCAGCAGATGAATGGATAAAGAAGATGTGGTACATATATACAATGGAATATTACTCAGCCATAAAAAGGAACGAAATTGGGTCATTTGTAGAGACGTGGATGAATATAGAGACTGTCATACAGAGTGTAGTAAGTCAGAAAGAGAAAAACAAATATCGTATATTAACGCATATATGTGGAAATTAAAAAAATGGTACAGATGAACAGGTTTTCAGGGCAGAAATAAAGACAACAGATGTAGAGAACAAACGTTATGGACACCAAGGGGGAAAAGTGGCGGGGGGCTGGTGGTGGTGGGATGAATTGGGAGATTGGGATTGACATATATACACTAATATGTATAAAACAGATAAATAAGAACCTGCTGTTTAAAATAAATAAATAAAAAGTTCTCTTAATATAATTTTTATCAACTTAATGAAATTCTAAATCTCTTACAAGATTTGAAATTTCATTTTCAAATCCATCTGCATTATAAGCAGGGAAGGATTAATGAGTGGTAATTAATTTTATAAGTGGTCAGTTTTCTTACTGAATATTGTCAAGTTATAATCTTGTTTTCCCATGCAACCTTATCAATGTGGTGATTCAGATAATAAATTTTCAAAAACTGAGTAAAGAACTTCTCCATCCTACCTCTGCCACTCCAGTAAAAACATTTAAGAAACTAGCTAAAGAGACTATTGGCTGGGAAACTCCTTTCTGAATGTGGAGGTATGCTAATAATTAGCTACTTTGGTTTTAGTATTTCACAGTTATCACTGGCCATGTCTATCTAGAAAAGCGTTTCTAGAAATGAATGATATTCTTATTAAGCCACTGAAATTACTTCTACTTGCCACTGTTTAATTCTTATCTAATCTCATCAAACCTAAGTTTTACAGCCCAGACATCAGGACACATGCTGTGCATTATACAGAATTACACAGGACAGCTATACATTAACAGAACTCTGGATCATTAGTTTCCAAACCAAGGTCTGACTGCTTATATAACATGGCTGCATAGGATTCAAATGAAAAACTGTTCTTTTCACCCACTCCTAATAATTCTGATTCTGCAGGTATGAGGTAGGACAAGGAATCTATTGTTTAAATCTTCCAAGGGATTCTCCTAAGTAGCAGGTTTGAAGGACAGTGGATAGATAAACTTTAAAGCCTCTTCCAGCTCTCCACGATTCAAAAACTAAAATTTTAATTGCAAAATTTCACATAGCAGGAAGCCATTAAGGAAGCTATTTTTCACTTAGAGTCTTACCTGACTCACCTCAAATTATACCTTTTTGGTAGTCATTAACTTTGATGGCCAGGCTTTTAACAAAATGATGCTACCTCAAAATCAGAACTACCAGAGACGGCAAAGCAACAGGAACCTAAATATCTGGAGATTTCCTTTCACTTCTTTTATACTTTGGTCATGAATCATAACAGAACTAACTAGTTAAAAATGAAGCTATAAGTACTATAAATGTCTTAAAAAGATAAGATTTCAACACCTAATTGATTTTGTATTGACTCCAGGTCAAATTTAATTTCCGACTAATAAAGTATCTTTAATTATTTCCCAGATAACCTACTAAGATGTGATACTTAATCTGATGTTTGTCACCTATCCAAAATATTGTAAATGGATATGTAAAAATAAAAAAGAGAATAAACATACATAGCTTTAATGCTTTCAGTGAGGTTTGTTTCAAAAGAGAGAAACTGTTTTCCTCTCTTTGTGAAGCCTCTAATTTCAGATCCTGCAGCAATAAAAATTTTCTCCTGGGGCGTGTTAAGAACCCCTCCTAGTTCCAATCTGGCAATCTTCTGCCCAGGTAAAGTCTTGAAGACTGTCTGCAAAAATCATTGAGGAAAAAATTAAGTACACAAATTTATTCCAAGTATTTTCTTTTACCATAAAAAATGCTGTGATTTTAAACTTACAATATATTATAGTTCTAAATAGGAACACCTTTAGATACAAATGTATCCAGTGGCCTTCTGGGTTTTTTGCTAAATATCTTCAAACTTTGCAACGTTTATTCCCACACACATTGCATTTCAATGACATTATTAAAATCTAAACTCTTGCAACTCAAAGTAGGGTTCGCTAAGCAGCAACATTAGCATCACTTACCTTATTAGAGATGCAGACTCTCAGGCTCAACCCGAGATCTACTGAATGAGAATCTGCATTTTACCAAGATTCCTCAGCTGGTTCCAGTGCACATTTCTATACCTTAATCATCTTTTTAAAACTAATCTCTCCTGGTTCCCTCACAATTTTATAAATTTTAGTAGTATAAATTAAGGACTGTAGAATTTACTGAAAACTTGAGCATATAACTTCATATCTCTCTATTTAATTGGAAACATTTGCATCCTTAGTTTATTCCTCGTTGTTTGCTATATTATTATTGGCATCAGTTTCTTCCCTTCACCACCAATGACTTATACACAGAGAATAAAATATCTGGAAGGATATATGAACAATGGAAACACTGAGTTTCTGATAGTTTTTACCCTCTTCATCTTTTTGCAAATTTCATATAATGTAGAATGAATATAAGAGTTCACATCTCAGACCCATCACTTGTAAACTATGATCTGGGAATAGGATGACATAAAACTCACTTCCTTGGTTAGGCTATATTAAGTGGCAAAGGTGATGTGACAGTCACGTCCATGTTACCCTGTAATATAAGACTACATCTTAGCAGACTGGACAGATTTCCCTGTTGGCCTGAAGAAGCAGTTCACCATGTTGTGCGAGGGCCTGGGAGAAGAGCGCATGGCAAGGAATTGTGGCGGGCCTCAGGACGCTGAAAGCAGGCCCTGGCTTACGGACAGCAATAAAGTGGGGACCTCAGTCCAACAACAGTAAAGAACTGAATTCTTCCAACAACTACCTGGGCTTGGAACAGGACCCTGAGCTCCAGAAAGAAATAGAGCCTGGCTGTACATGTGTTGCAGCCACGTGAGGTCTCGAGCTTGGACTCCTGCCCCGTGAGATAATAAATGTGTTTTGTTTTAAGCCCCTAAATTTGAGGTAACTTATTACACAGCATAAAAAATTAATATATCACCCTAGGCTGTCAAAGATGTTTTACAAATGGCTAGCAAATGACTCTCATGCTGCCTGTAATCTCATACTTCATATGACTACTTCCCTCAACCTATTTTTCATTATGCTTTAGAAAAAATTTTAATGTAGGAGTATTCAAAAGGTACACATACCACTGCTTCTCCCTTCTTCATGCCAAAGCACATAACTACTCCATCATGATCTCCAACAACCACCTGTAACAGATTGAAGAGAATATAAAATTACTGTTATTATGCCCTACTAACATATGGGGAAAACAAGATTCTCAATATATAAATTATGATTTTAAAAGTAGAGACCAGAAAATCTAGTAAAGACATCCCCACAAAAAATATCCACCAAAGAATTGTAAGAAAGGGCCAAAGAGAAGGCTATGAAGAGTTGTTATGGAAGTAGCTGGCTTTCTGTTCTGTTCCTACAAGGTAAGCAGAACAAGAAAATAGAGACAGAAATGACAAGGAGGCAATTTTCTTTCCTTTAACTGGAGCATAAGAACATTTTAAGATTAACTTTTAAAACATTATCAGGCACTTCCCTGGTGGCGCAGTGGTTAAGAGTCAGCCTGTGAATGCAGGGGACACGGGTTCGAGCCCTGGTCTGGGAAGATCCCACATGCCACGGAGCAGCTAAGCCCGTGCGCCACAACTACTGAGCATGAGCTCTAGAGCCCGCAAGCCACAACTACTGAGCCCGAGTGCCACAACTACTGAAGCTTGTGCACCTAGAGCCCATGCTCCGCAACAAGAGAAGACACCGCAATGAGAAGCCCACACACCGCTGCGAAGAGTAGCCTCTGCTCACCGCAACTAGAGAAAGCCCACACGCAGCAACAAAGACCCAATGTAGCCAAAAATAAATAAATAAATTCATATATTAAAAAAAATTTATCAAAATGAGGTTGTGACAGACCTATTTGATATTTTTAAAACTTTTTACTTTTTATTTTTATTGACGTATAGCTGATTTACCTAATTAAATTTAAAAGCTTTTAGGGCTTCCCTGGTGGCGCAGTGGTTGAGAGTCCGCCTGCCGATGCAGGGGACGCGGGTTCCTGCCCCGGTCCGGGAGGGTCCCACATGCCGCAGAGTGGCTGGGCCCGTGAGCCATGGACGCTGAGCCTGCGCGTCCGGAGCCTGTGCTCTGCAGCAGGAGAGGCCAAAAAAGAGAAAGGCCCGCGTACCGCAAAAAAAAAAAAAAAAAAAAAAAAAAAAATTCAAAAGCTTTTGCAAAGCAAAGGAAACCATCAAAAAAACGAAAAGACAACCTATCGAATGGGAGAAAATATTTGCAAATAATAAGACCAATAAGGGGTTAATATCCAAAATATGTAAGCAGCTCATACAACTTAACATAAAAAAAACAAACAACCTGATTAAAAAATGGGCAGAAGACCTGAACAGACATTTTTCCAAAGAGGAAATGCAGACGGCCAACAGGCACATGAAAAGATTCTCAATACCGCTAATCATCAGGGAAATGCAAATCAAAACCACAATGAGATATCACCTCACACCAGTCAGAATGGCTATCATCAAAAAGAACACAAATAACAAATGTTGGCTAGGATGTGCAGAAAAGGGAAACCCTCGTACACTGTTGGTAGGAATGAAAGTTGGTGCAGCCACAGTGGAGAACAGTACGGAGGTTCCTCAAACAACTAAAAATAGAACTACCATATGACCCAGCAATGCCACGCCTGGGTATATATCCAAAAAATCTCAAAAACATGAATTCGAAAAGGTACATGCACCCTAATGCTCACAGCAGCATTATTTACAATTGCCAAGATATGGAAGGAACCTAAGTGTCCATCAACAGATGATGGATAAAGAATACTACTCAGCCATAAAAAAGAATGAAATTTTGCCTTTTGCAACAACATGGATGGACTTGGAGGGCATTATGCTAAGTGAAATAAGTCAGACAGAGAATGACAAACTGTATGATAACATTTGTATGCAGAATCTAAAAAATACAACAAACTAGTGAATATTTTTAAAAAAGTAGCAGACTCACAGGTATAGAAAACAAACTACCAGTGGTTACCAGTGGGGAGAGGGAAGGAGGAGGGGCAACACAGGAGTAGGGGATTAAGAGATACAAACTACTATGTATAAAATAAGCTAAAAGGATATATAGTATAACACAGGGAATATAGCCAATATTTTATAATAACTAAATGGAATATAACCTTGAAAATTATGAATCACTATATTGTACACCTGTAACTTATATAATATTGTACACCAACTATATTTCAATAAAAAATAAATAAAATGATCTTTTTAAAAAGTGTAAAAGAGTCCTGAGACCAAAAAGTTTGAGAAGTGTTGCTCTAGTTGAGTGAATACAATAAATGACAACCAAAAATCTGTTGATTTATCCTGATAAAATGTTAATATATAGGAATACTATATTTATTTTGCAGCTATTAAAATATCCTACTAGTCTACCAAGAAATTATAATTGTCTTATGGAAATCACAGGATTAATATTTCTATAAAAATAATCAATATTGTTAGTTAAATGTAAAGATTAACATCAATATATTTAATTACTCTTAAAAATATGATAAAGTTTTTAAAAAGCATTTTCTCTACAGTCTATTGTGTTTTTTATTTCTTTTTTCATATACACAATCTGGTACACACAGGGTAAATTATTACCAGAAAAATGGAATATGGTTTTCAACTAGTTTGCTTATACTATTTACTAATTGTACATAATAATTATAATGTCCAAGAAACTTACTGTCTATAAATGTCCCTTGGTATTCTAATCTCTGTTCAAATGAAAAGAAATTCATTTCCATTTTAGCCTTGGAATTAAAAAAAAAAAACTTATCAATAATGAAGGAAATGTAAACTTCTCCTCTGTCAGAGCTGAAGAGATATGGAGGAATCAGTATATCTACGTTACCTTTTGTGTGGCTCTATATCTTGAAGCAGGAAGTAGCTTCATAGTCTTCTGAGAGGTCACTCCCACCTAAGGAAACACATCAGCTGCCTGGTGAGTGATTTCTGATACACTAATTTGAAGTTATTAAATCAGAGATTAAAAGGACCAGCAGATTCTAATCATAGTAAGCCTCAGTTTTTTATTGCAATTAATTAGTGATATGAAATAATTATTATCAGCAATGAACTTATTTTCTAATGAAATATACTACAAAAGTCAGAATACAGGAAACAATCAAAAATAGTAAAATTTATGCTATAAAGTCAAGTCAAAAATAATAACGTGGCATTACTGGCAAGATACTTCACACCAAAAAAATATTTCTATAAGCCTTCTTTTACAACTTCATACAGTTGTTAAAGTGTGTTTGTAATTTAAAATCTTTGGTAATAGATTATTATTGAAAATGCAACATAAAAGATTTTAGCTAAAATACCACCATGCTGATGAAGATTATTTTACAAAAGTTACAGAAGATGGAAACAGCGTGGTTTGCTCAGCAGGGCACTGTCACTAGTGGTGCATGGTTAGGGGAGGAGAATGGGACCAAAGAGAGAGAAACTGGTGGAAACAACAGACAATGCAAGAATTTACATATAGTATAGGTCTATCCTTTAATTCTGTATTCTAGGGGGTAGTATTAAAGTTTAATCTGTTTAGATTCGTATTTTTGAAACATCAATCTAGCAATGATATGAAGGATGTCTTGGAGGGAGGTAAGCTGGAGGCTAGGAGCTATTTCAATTATCCAAGCAAGAGAAGATGAGGACTGAACTAGGGGTAAGAGAGATGGAGGGAGCAAATGGGACAGATTCGTGAGATATTTAGGAGATAAAAGCAGCAAAATGTGGTGACCAGATGGATAGGGAAGATATTAAGGTGGGAAGTACCTAGCATGACTCTCAAGGAAAGTGACAGGACAAACATTTGTACCATTAGCCAAAATAGGATTACTGAAAAAGGAGATGGAGAAGGAGAGAAAGTCTAGGGCTGAAATATTGAGAGGCAGGGTGGTGTACCAGAAAGAACACCAGCTCTGGAGTCAGAGGCTTTGTTTCAAATAGGAACTCCATCCTTTCCGCTATCACGTAAATCACCTTCTCTGAGCCCCTTGATCCTCATGTACCTACTTTAGGAATTTTTATGAGGATTAAATATATGTACGTGTGTTAAGATCTGAGAATAAACTAGACGGTCGAAAACGGCTGCCATTGCTTTTATTATGATCTGGCTCGTGGGGTCCGGCTCACAGTAAGAAACAAGTGTCTGGCGCTCGGCAGAAGGGACTGGGTACAGATGGAGATCAGGGAGTTAGAAGCTGCAGCCGGGGAGGAGGAGAAGGGCCCCGGGGAGGAATCCGGGAGCGCATCAAGACATTCGGAGCATCTTCAGGACCTGGCAGACGCCAGCACCGCGGAGGCGCGTGCTCCCTCTTTCCAAGTCCCCGTGGACCGTCACGAACAAGCCGGAGTTGCCCGTGAGCAAGGTGTCTGGAGGGTGGCACCCAGATCCGCTCCTGTGCCACCACGTCGCCGCCGAGAGACCCCAACAGACGCCAGTGGAAGGATCGAATCCTCTCAGGGAGCGCAGCTCACCCCGCGCAGCGACCGCCCCAACCCCTCAGGTTTACCTGTAAATAATCCGCTCGGTTTAAATTCAGATCCATGACGGAGGCACGGACGCGCTGGGCAGCGCCAGGCCAGGCCAGGTAGGATAGAGGCTGCGGGACCCCTGGCCTCCGAAGGGAAAAAGCTTGCTTCCCCACTGAGGGCCAACGCCAGCTACTAAGGACTCAGTGGGGGGATGCAAAGGCGGAGCGTCAGGGCAGCGGCGTCCTGCGTGACGTCCGTACGTTCCTGCGAGAGGGCCCCGGAAGGAAATGAAGCCCCACCCCCTTCCCGACAGACCGCCCACTGACTAACCCGCTCCAATGAGAGGCGGAGAGGAACGGAGGGCGAGCTCCAGGAGACCTGGGAAGGGTGGTTTCCAGGGAGACCGGAGACGCAGTCTTGGCTAGGCCTCCGCCACCGCCCTGAGCCCCAAGTCTTAAGTCTTTTCTGTGTAGAGCCTTGACTTGAAGCCCTGGTAGATTCTGACCTGTTTCACCGCTACTAGAAAGGATCCCTCAAAGAATTAGGTTTCACCGCCATAAGAGTTAGCTTACAGCAGCATAGGAGTTCTCAAACTTTTGGCCTTAGGACCCCTTTACAAAACTCTAACAACTATTGAGGACCCCAAAGACCTTTTGGTTATATGAATTATCTATTGATATTTACCATATTAGAAATTAGAACTAAGTTTCTAAAAAATATATTGAAAAAAATGAACTCATTATATAAATATTTTAATGAAAAATAACTATTTCCAAAATAAAGAAAAGTAAAAAGACTGGCTTTGTTTGCAAATCTATTCACTGTCCACCTGAACAGTGAACAGGGGAGTCCCAGATCTACTTCTGCATACAATCTATTGGTATATATTGTTTTTTGTTTCTTTGTTAAGTATATGAAGAAAATGTGGTCCAAACTCAACAAGTGGTAGTTTTTGAAAAGTTAGTTGCAATGTGGCTTCATTATACAACATCTCCAAAAGTCCATTTGTTAATATCATCACAGATTCCATCAGAAAAGTTTTGAAGTGTTGGAAAGTGGTCAACCTCAGATGGCAGATAAAAATTTTTGAAAAATTCTAATTTGTGCTTAAAAGCTTGAATTTGAAGCATTGGCAACAAATGTCAATTATTTTCCTTGAAATGATAGTTTTCCTTCTTGAATTCACAAGAAAGTGTATGCCAGGTATCCAAGTCTAAATAATCATAATTTGTCAGTCGTGCTTTCAAAAAAAGTTCCATGAAAAAAACAGTGAGTTCAGCTAGCAATTCAAATAATCATACAAGTGCTTTTCCTTGAAACAACTAATGTACTTCCGTATTCAGTAGAAATGCTTCATGCATACTTCCCATGTCACCCCACAGAGTATTAAAAAGGATATGTACTCGGACTTCCTTGGTGGTCCAGTGGTTAAGACTCCACCCTTCCACTGCAGGGAGCCCAGGTTCGATCCCTGGTGGAGGAACTAGGATCCCACATGACACGTGGCATGGCCGAATTAAAAAAAAAAATGATATGTACTACGAGTAGAGGCTTAAAATTGACAATTTTCACTGCTTCATAAAGAACATTTTTACATGAAACTTTGTTTCCTGTCAATGTGTGGCCTTGATCCACGCTTAAGTACCAGCAGTATTAACCAACCTTGCTTTTGTACCATTAGTACAAATGTCCACACAGTGAAAAAGGCAAGTAGCATCTTATTGTTATGAAAATACCTTCAAAATCACAGACCCCCGGAAAAGGCCTCAGGGACCCTCTGACTATTGCTGGCCTATAGTGACCCATGATCTGATTGAGAGCTGACCTTACTTGACTCACTTTCATCAGTCCTTCCTTTGCGCATACCACACTCTGCCTACAGAAATACTACAGATGAATAAGTGGTTTCTGTGGTCTACTGGGGAGAGTTGACAAATGATTTCTATGGTCAACTAGGGGAGAGTTCACAAATGTTTGTGAAACAAGAATTAAGCCCTTGAGAAGAGGTTCTTTTTTTTTTTAACATCTTTATTGGGGTATAATTGCTTTACAATGGTGTGTTAGTTTCTGCTTTATAACAAAGTGAATCAGTTATACATATACATATGTTCCCATATCTGAGAAGAGGTTCTTAAGAAAAGAAATTATTTCCTACACAGAGATCTGAGAAGGTTTTGCCTAGGTCCCAGGATATTCCAGACAATTCTTTTTTTTAATTTTTTATTTAAATTTTATTTTTATTTTTGGCTGTCTTGGGTCTTCGTTGCTGCACGCGGGCTTTCTCTAGTTGCGGAGAATGGGGGCTACTCTTCGTTGCAGTGCAGCGGGCTTCTCATTGCAGTGGCTTCTCTTGTTGTGGAGCACGGGCTCTAGGCATGCGGGCTTCAGTAGTTGTGGCATGCGGGCTCAGTAGTTGTGGCTCACGGGCTCTAGAGCGCAGGCTCAGTAGTTATGGTGCACAGGCTTAGTTGTTCCGCAGCATGTGGGATCTTCCCGGACCAGGGCTCGAACCCTTGTCCCCTGCATTGGCAGGCGGATTCTTAACCACTACACCAACAGGGAAGCCCCAGACAATTCTTTTGCTGAGGCCAAAACAACTCAGTATTGAAATAGACAACAATGCCTGAAGATGGTTTAGCTGTGTAGAAATTTGGAGAAAATATCCATTAAGACTCAACAAAAATACAGATAAATTTTAGAAGTAAATTGAAAAAATAAAGCCATAGAGGAGATAAAATAGAATTGTAATAGAATTTTATGGAATTTAGGGGGTTGGAAGGTGTATTAGTTAGATAGAGCCACTATAATAAAGTAGTACAAACTAAGTGGCTTAGACAACAGAAATTTATTTTCTTGTATGATCTCACAAGCTAGGATTACAAAATCAAGTTGTCAGCAGGGAACCAAACCAATCCTCTGAGGCATTTCTCCTGGGCGTGTAGATGGCCATCTTCTCCCTGTTTCTTCATATGGTCTTTCCTCTGTGTTCATCTGTGTCCTAATCTCCTCCTCTAATAAGGCCATCAGTCATGCAGGATAAAGGTCCACCCTAGTGACCTAACTTTAACTTAATTATTTCTTTAAAGGTCCTTTCTCCAAATACAGTCACATTCTGAGGTACTGGGGATTAGGATTTCAACATATGAATTTGGCGGGGGCTGGGGGTGGGGGGGAGGCACAATTCAGCCCATAACAGAAAGGAATTTGTTTCATCTTAAAAAGAATAGAAGAAACCACAAAGAAAAAACAGATATGAAAAACAAAGATTAGACATTTCAATATGTCACAAAAATTTTAAAACAAAAAAATTTAGGACTTCCCTGGTGGCACAGTGGTTAAGAATCCGCCTGCCAATGCAGGGGACACGGGTTCGAGCCCTGGTCCAGGAAGATCCCACATGCCACAGAGCGACTAAGCCCGTGCGCCACAACTACTGAGCCCATGTGCCACAACTATTGAGCCCACGTGCCACAACTACTGAAGCCTGCACGCCTAGAGCCTGTGCTCCAGAACAAGAGAAGCCACCGCAATGAGAAGCCAGCGCACTGCAACAAAGAGTAGCCCCCTGCTCAATGCAACTAGAGAAAGCCCACGCACAGCAACGAAGACCCAATGCAGCCCCAAAATAAATAAATACATTCATAAAAAAAAATTTAGGATAAATATATGTAGTTAGTATCTTAATAAACAGTTCATACAAATATTAAAAAAAGAAATATAATTATTCCAATAAGAAAAACATGAACAGACAATACACAAAGAAGGTGGCTACTGAACAAACATATAGAAATTTGTTACCTTCACTTGTAATCAATAATAGTAAAGCAAGATACATTTTTTGCCTTTCAAATTAGAAAATAAATTTAAATGATACCACTATATGCTGTAGAGAGAGCGCGTGCTCATCATCTATGATGCTTTAAACTAGTAATAAAAACCCTTTTCAAAAGCAACTTAGTAATGTATATCCAAATCTATAAATTATGTGGTGATATTTTTAACCTATAACCCCAATTCTGGATATTTAGTCTATGAAAACAACACAAAATAGGTTAGAAGCCATGATCGAGGCATTATTTAAAGTAGGAACCTCCGTGTCCAATAATAGGGGAGTATTGCATCCCTCCACTTTCCGGGCTATTATGCAGCCATTGAAAGTGAAAATAATGAAGGCTGTATAGCAATGTGGAAAGTGCTCAGGACAATTTTAAAAGAATATCAAATTGTGTGTATACTATGACTTCAATTATAGGAAAAGACTGTTAAGAAATATACCAAAATAACTTTAGTTGGTTATAAATTGAAGAATTATGAGCTTCTCCTCCTGTTTTTTTGTTTTCCATAAGGTGTTTAAGAGTCATCTGTTTAACTGGGCATAGTTTCCAAAGTACGCAATCCGCTGTCCCAGTGATTGCAAGTTTCTGATAAGGGGTATTCTAAGACGGTGAGTACCGAATCTTCCCACCGTCTATTTTCTTGTTTCCCTTTTTAGGTCCTGGCAGTGCATGTTAACAATTTAAGGAAAATGGTACCGATATCAATATTGTTATGTTTTTGTATTATAACAAACAAACCATCAAAATGTCAAAAACCTGGTGAAGTGGGCAGACATTATCTTTTTAAAAATGATGCTTGGGAAGTATTTATAGTATTCCAGGACTGGGTGAAATCTTAGAAAACATTAATTCAATGTTTTCCCTTTTGGATTCACAAACTATTTTCATAGTAGTATATAATCCTTCAAAGCCCTTAGGAATTTTAATAATAACTTAATTTTCTCATTGTGTGGTTTTGCAATTAATTTTGTGTAATTTTTGCATAGAAATGTAACTTTAAAGAAAAGGTATTTAGATTGCTATTTAATTAAGGTGGCATTATAGAATTCATCTTTATACAATATTTATAATATTTGTAATAAAAACATAGGCTGGCAATGCTTATTTTCCATTTAAGAAGTGATGCCCGCTGTTTATTTCACATTCAGTTAATTGTGTAAAAGATGAGAGGTTTTCTTTTGAAGATCAACTTTTTAAAAAAAATTTATTTATTATTTGATATTTATTTTTGGTTGCGTTGGGTCTTCATTGTGATGCGCGGGCTTCTCATTTTCGTGGCTTCTCTTGTTGAGGAGCACGGGCTCTAGGCACACAGGCTCAGTAGTTGTGGCGCACGGGCTTAGTTGCTCCGTGGCATGTGGGATCCTCCCAGA